GGAGAAAATTCATCTCGTGCCCCTCGCCAAAAACGAAAAAGGAAGAGTCACATGTCGGCGGTGGCTTCAGAAGCCAAGGGCGGGGGTGAAAATTGAAACCAAAAAGGGCCAGAAGCCAAGCCGAAAGTCCCGAGGGGTCAAATTGAAATATGGACCTCAACGGAGTTTGGGAAGGGCCAGTAAATCTACCGTAGTTGGGGCCAAGACGTGGCCAAAAGAACGCGTTTTAAAGGGGCTAGTAAGTGCCAAAATCGACCCCTTACATCACCTAGATCCAGACAACTGCGGACACTGAATTTTTAGATAAGGTAGCCTTTTTAAAAGCTATAGAAACGATGATTTACGCGTGTTTTGGAGCGTTGCGTAGCTGTCTATACCTAGTGGGCAAAAGAGGGGTTTCTGGCGCTTCCAAGTTCCTTTAAGTTTTCGGAAGTAGACACAGCAGCAAGGCACTGATTTCTCGGATGAGTCTACCGTGAAAAAGTCCTGAATTTAGCCGCTCTTATCTCTCTCTCTCTCTCTCTGGCTTTCTCTCTAACACACCCTCTTTCTATGCTTTTCCAGGCCTCAGAACCTTATAACTTCAAAAACTTGCTATCCCCAGCTTCGCCAACTTCAAAGCCCCAAGACTAGACAAAAAAACAACACCAGCAAAGAGCCCCCGGGGGACCTAAATTGAAAAATTCACCCCAGGCCCGGGCCTCAGCAAGGCCGAGGAGCACCAGTAAATCTACCGTAGTACCCGGGAGCGCAAAGAGTTTCTCCGCGGACTTCTGAGACAGCAGAAGAGGAGGGAGGTGCAGAAGAAAGTATTGGGCCCCACCAGGGCCAGAGCTTGGCCCTTGGTGGCCCAATTTATGGAGGGACCCAAGGGGTGTAGAAGACCCACACACCGAAACGGCCGGCCATAAATTCTCGCCCGAAGCTGCTTGATTGAAATTTGGCACCCACAGGCCGGCAGCGGCTTCTTGAAGCAACCCGTTAGCTGGATGGGGGTATTTGATGTTTAGATACAAGATCGAGGAGGGAGAGCGAGAGAGAGAGAGAGAGAGAGAGAGAGAGAGAAGAGAGAGAGAGAGAGAGAGAGAGAGAGAGAGAGAAAGAAAGAGAGAGAAAGAGAGAGCCAGAGATAGAGAGAGAATGTACATGGCAGAACGTCATTTCGCGGTATTGTATCCAAAACGACGAAGCTAACAGCAATAAGTTGAGATTTGGTGGCAGTAGAACACGAGAATTAGTTGGAGTTTAATTGAGCCACAGGCTACTGTATAACTCTGAAAAATAAGACAGCAGATGTGAGGATGTGAGGATTCTCAGAAAATCTGGCTAGTGATTTGGAGCGTAACGTAGCCTCTGTGGAGGCAGAAGGAAGGAGACGTGCTACGAAATCCGGAAACGGAGAAAGAGAGAGAGATAGGAGAGAGAGCAGGGGAGAGAGAGAGAGAGAGAGAGAGAGAGTGATAGAGAGAGAGAATGTGACAGAGGGACTTCAGAGCAAGACGTCATCTGGACCCTGGAACATCTCAAGCTCAAGTTACTGTCATCAAACTTGAAGGCGGAAAGCTAGCAGAGATCAGTTAAGAATTCGAGAAAGCTACATCGATTTTGAAGTAGTCTGGAGCTGGCCTAGAGAGGCCCAAATTGGAGCAAACTAGCAGAGATTCTATGAGAATCCGTCTCGTCTCATAAACGGGCTAGCGTCATTTGGATTGCCGTGTAGTCAGGAAAAGTTAAAAAGTAAACTTCTAAAAAAGTCAGAAGTGACGTGGTTACCCGATTTGAAAGTTATGAAAAAGAAAGGCAAGCGAGCAGAGGTAATTAGTGCACGGCACGTGCACGTAAAGAGGCTAGAATTCAGAAAAAACTAGCAAAAATTCCTTGCAGCAAAAGATAATGGACTCTCGAAGGCACGCCGCTATCAAGGGTTGTGTGGAAAAAACCATGCTGGGCGAGCAAGCAGAGGTCATTTGAGACGTTTTAAGCTCATTTTTGGCGGCAGAGGTCAGTTGACCGTACTGGACAGTTCGGTACCGTACTCCCCCGGCCAGTGGTGGTGGATATCTCGAGATGATGGGTTGAGAATAGGGGGCGGTCGACCTTGTGTTGTCTTCTCGGAGAGAGAGAGAGATAGGGAGAGAGAGAGAGAGAGAGAAAAAGAAGGAGAGAGAGAGAGAGAGAGAGAGAGCCAGAATTCAGGGGGAATGATGGAAGGAAGTTGTTTGGTTTTCCCAGAGGTGTCAGGAGGGGGGCTATCCAGCAACCGCCTGGTTGTATTGGAGGTCGTTCACCTCGCCGTCCCTCCAACACACACAGACAAAATGGGTGATCGAGTAAACTGGAGGAGATCGTTCGGGGCACCGGAGATGGGCCGGGAAATGTAAAGAGGAGCATGGTGGAGCAGGGATTGGGGGTGGAATTTATTCGATGGGACGAGGGGGTGTGTGATCAATTTTTGAGGGCCATAACCGTAGATATAAATCATATAAGACAAAAACTCAACAGTTTTACGGTCCTGCAAGAGCTGAATGAGGCTTCTAAAGGAGCTAGGAAGCGAGAAAATTCACCCCTTCGATAGACTGGGTCTAGACAGCTACGCGGCACGCCACAGGTACGTGCCAGTGCTTCTTGGCCTCTGGCTTGCAGAGCACATGCCGAATGGCTATAAAACGAAAATCTACGTGTATTTTGGAGCACCGCATAGCTGTCTAGACCTAGCCTATCGAAGGAGTAGAGTCTAGAACTTCCTGGCTCCTTTAAAAGACTAATTTCCCGATATCAGCGCTTTACATCAAACGTCGGGATGTTTAAGCGCGGAAAGGGGTATTATTTAGGTTTCTGCAGCTAACTCAGATCTACAGATTGGCAGATTCTCGAAAAAAGCATAGATATGTAATTTATATATTTTTAGGGCATTTTTTACTTTTTAATTGTCTAAAATAGGTAGTTGTTTAATCTAATTTAGTGCTACAGTACACCCTTGAACACTCCTAAAATGATGTGTCATCACTGCCGACTACATCGCCGACAGTACAGTAACCAGCCGATCGACGCGCGGGGGTTGGTTGCTTTGTGGAGAGGAGGGCAATTCGGAAGACAAAATATCCCAGCTTCCACCCCAAACCACCTACATCGTCTACGATTTATTTTAGAAGCTCGTGGTGGGCGAGGGGACACTGTTTTGACTGACTGCTTCCCGAAGCTTTCTGAAGATGAGGCGTTTTGGAGACCACAATAAAGTTTGGAAAGGCTTTGAGGATGAAAAACAAGGAAATATGAAGATAAATATGGTGGAAAAGGGGCGAGAAGTATTTATAACCATACAGCTACTGTTTTCGTTCCAGCGTTGGCAAGGTAAGCTAGCAGAGAATCTTCAGGACGGCGTCCGGTCACTACCCCGAAAAGTCACTACCCCGAAAGTCACTACCCCGAAAGTCACTACCCCGAAAGTCACTACCCCGAAAAGTCACTACCCCGAAAAGTCACTACCCCGAAAAGTCATTACCCCGAAAAGTCACTACCCCGAAAGTCACTACCCCGAAAGTCACTACTCGAAAGTCACTACCCCAAGTCACTACCCCGAAAGTCACTACCCGAAAAGTCATTACCCCGGAAAGTCACTACCCCGAAATCGTTTACCCCGAAAAATGATAGCATTGTTTTTCCTGGAAAAATCCAGTTTTCATGCGGTTTTCCTATGAAAATCATGCAAATTATTTCGGGGTAGTGACTTTCGGGGTAGTGACTTTTCGGGGTAGTGACTTTTCGGGGTAGTGACTGTACCCCCTTCAGGACTTTCCGGAGTCGTAAAAATCAACTACACATAAAACCTTGGAGGGGATTTCTGCATGAAAAAAAGAAAATTGAAATAAACCTGCTGGAAACCGTCATCGAATCTCGAAACTTATATAAGAACCTAAAATTCATGGCTACTATAAAGCTTTTACGCCTAATAACCAGTTTTATTAATATCTGCTGAATTTAAAGCAACTAGTATAAAACAAAATTGCGAAAATGACAGGAAAAGATCGCCGAAACGTGCGTAGCCGTTTCGCTTTCTGAACACGCCGCAAACAAAAGCTCATATAGCAACTAGATTTTTCCGTAAAACCACACAAAATTGTATTTGTTATACGTATCCGGCTGAATGAGAAAAGCCGGGTCCTACCGCTCTACCAACCTTACAGGCTTTTTCTGCTAAACTCTACGAGTAATGAGTACTAGTTTTGTATATAATGAGTACCCAATTCTCAAATAGCGCAAAAAAAGCATTTATTTAGCTGATTTGCTTCAAATAATGAAATGGCCCTAGACCGGTAGCGTGTACCGGTTCCCATACAGCCCCTAAAGGCCAGCCATCGTCTTGTCTCACTCGGTTTCTTCTGTTTATGAATAATTTGCCCCCAATGCAATTCATGCGAGGGCACACGCCGGCCACTCCACACCTCGATGAGTAACCCGGCAATATTAATTCCAACCGCGCGTCTGCCGCGCCATTCGGCATCATTTTTTTGAAAAAAAGAAAACGGTTCAAAACATCAAGACACCCTCATTGGGCTTCAGTCACTCTTTATTTCCACTACGACAATTCAATACTCAATTATTTAATGTTCTTAGTTTTAAAATACTGCTGCTAAAGTATTTGCTAACTTAATAGAGCGAAAATAAGTAATTTTTGTCATTTCCGCACCGAAATGACGTTGGGAATGATTTCACCACACAAACTTCCTAGTTGGTATTTTTTTTAAAAGAAGGAATACATGACAAAGGCATTTCTTTACTAGTTGTTAAAGTTTTTACATAATTAGGAAATGTTTATTTTTCAAATGCCTCCAAATTCCGTTGCGCTACTCTGGACACCGTGCCCGTACGTAATGAGGTGTCGGTTGGAAGCTCTTGATTTTCCACTCCTTGACTTTTTTTGGCTTCTTGATTTTTCTTGCTTTTCTTGTCTTTTTCTTTTCAACTAATTACTAATCTTTCATTTTCAGACATTCACAACGATGGGCGGAAAGGGCAAGGGCAGGAAGAAGTTCACCCTGGAACTGCCGTTGATCCGCGTCAAAGACGAGCCAAGCGCCAAGGATGATTCGGAGGCGAAGACCGCGCGCGAGCCAATCTCCGACGACATCGTCGAGCCGCAGGAAACGACGCGCGTCGACGAGCCGAACACGAAGGACATCGACAAGCCGGAGACGACAGAGAGTTTATCGGAAGAAACGACGGCGCCCTCCGATCCGGCGATAAACCCGCAAGTTATCGAAATATGCTGCGGCCCCGACGATCTGCCGGTGGCCAGCGGCGGAACGATCTACACGTTTGGGTTCGAGCCGACGCTGGCGACGCTCGGCGGAGATTATGGACCGCACGGCGTTCACACCGTCAATGTCGGTTCACCACCGCCGACTGCAGGTAAAAGCTTTTTATGATTGGTAAAAACATCTTTTCCTGGTTTCTGCTGTTTTGCGTTGACTTTACTTTCCTTTTCAGAAGGCGTCATACCACCACAAATCAAGGCCCTCTTCGATACAATCGTCGCCAAACATGCCAAAGAGGAGCCAGAGCCCGAGACGATCCTCCTCTATCATGTTGGTTTTTCTTTGCTTCTTTCACTAGTTTTTAGTACAAAGACAAGCCGGAACTGCCGAAGCCGAGCACCGAGGAAGAGCGACAAGCCGTGGCCAAGCGCTTTGAGGAATGGATGAATTCTTCGGATCCCGGTATAGTTTGTTCATTTTTTAGTTATACCGTTAATTTTAGCCCCAACCTACTACACCGTCGACGCCGACAAGCCCGAGAAGGGCCAGCAGCTGGAGGAAGCCGACAAAGCCTGAGGCGCCCTGTGAGATCCGTTTCGTGGGCGCGCATTCCTGGGTGGCCGAAGTGAAGAATCGAAAGTTTATTAATTCTCCAAATTTCTACTAGACTCTCCTTCGACTGCCTAGCCAATGTTGTTTTGTCCCACGCCCCCACCCCGTGTTCATTTGCCTTCACTTATCTTATATTTCTACGCCATTGAGGAGCATGGTTTTCAGATTTTGTCCGATTTTCATTGCGAGATACCTAAAACCTAAAAAAAAACATAAAAACCCTGCTCCTCTCTGTTCGCCTGTGATCTCTCATCTTTCGTTACCCAGCGAGCCGCTTCTGTACAACAGTTCCCTGTTTTCCAGCGCCTGGCATCGCACTTGCACCTCGGTCTAATTTGTGATATAACGTGGTTCGGATTGGGTCAAGGCTTCATTAGGTCTCCCCTTCCGGCCATGTTCGAGTCCCTCTCCGTTGTCGTACAGTTGGCTCTCGGCGAATCCCCAAAAAAAGTTTGGCATTTCTGCTCTATTCCTTTACATCCTCTACTTTGTAATACAGTATGAGAACTGTTAGATTTCGCCCCGTTTATCAGCTTTTAATAAACGAAGAGACTTTTGGAAGTCTGGATTTGGTCGCTTTGATTTAGCAAACTAATTTAGTCACTTTTAGATGCTTCAGCCCTTTCCACGACCTCCATGACCCATCCAGCCACCGCCAATTCCTCATTGATCATCCGTTCGCGTCGGATGAAAAAGCGGCCAATTCGCGCCCCGTCTGGACCCAGAATTTCGCGGCCCGCCGCTGAATTAATCTGATGCTTCGAGATCGCCCCCGGCGGGTGAATTGTTGGCCAGGCGGATCGTTGAGCTGCAACGGACCGGTCCCCCATCCACCCGGCGGTCGCCACAAACATCTCCCGCCCCGCCGACCTCTGCACACACCACAACCCATGCCCCCGGGGGAGGGCTATCAGCTCGCATCAGTGCCATCATCTCGATCCGCCTGAGGGGCTGGTTCGAGATCCGGAAACATGAGTGGTTTTTTCGAGTCCGCTTTTCATGCGCGCATTTTTTTCTGGCATTTGGAACAGCTGGAGGGCCTTGCTAGCCATTTCCAAGAGCTAGCTGCTAGAAGATAGTTGGGCGGCTAGCCAGAATAGGCTCATAATGTCCTCCTGCTTTTCCAGCTCCTTTGTTGGCAAGTTTTGGGCTATATCTTTATCTTTCAGGTGCCAGAACTTTTCAGTCTGCTTCATACAGCAAATGTGAGCGGGACGCACCATATTTTTCCGAAGCTACCTATTTTTTTCCAGGATGCTATCTTATTCGCTAGCCGGGTCTCTATTAATTTTTGCAGCGTTTTTCAGACCAAGTGATGGACAATGTAAGTAAAAAAGATTTAAAAGCCAGGCAATAAAATTAAAAATTTAGCAATCGACGCCATATTCAACCAGCTGAGCGACCGTTTTCGCAAATCGGCACGCGTTGATTCGGCTGAGGACTCGGATAGCAGGAGAAAAATGTTGAAGTGGAGCCAGTTGATGAGGATGGGAGGAGATATTGCAAGTAAGTGTAGAACATCCTAGTAATGGAAACCTTTAGAAAACCCCAAGTACGCTCTTTTGCATGCCTTGACAGCTACCGAACCGCCGGTGGAGGAAGATAAAAGCGAGTTCGTTTCCCAAGACAACTTGAAGACGATTCGAATGCTGCAGTCGATGATGGGATTTGTTAGCCCGACGACTCCGAGGCGGGTTTTGGCTCTTTCGACGTTCTATACTCATAATATAGATCGATTTTCCTAACCTTTTGCGTATGAACAACCGGTTCTAGCTAATTTATACTTTTAGATCCGGCGTCTCTTTCCAGCGCATTTTTGAGCGTACCATGGGAGCTTCTCCATGGTCGAGGATGGCAGGTAAGCAAGCAGCTTCGTGAAAACGTAAGAAATCCGTATTTTTAGGAACCCTACTCGACACCGTTTCAACCGGAAATACCGTTGCAGAACGGGAACGACCTACGGAAAGTTTATTTAGAAAAACGTGGTATGGCGAGGTAAGCCTTTCATCTAATTTGCTCAAATTTTGGCAATTCAAATTTAGGCCCTAGGAACGGTTCTGGGGATCGGCGACGAGGAAAAGCCAATTTATCGAGCTGCTCCGCCCCGAAACGTATGCGAAAAAAGTGGGGTTCTAAAAGAAGACGTTTAGTTCGGGATTACCAATTTCCTAAACCCCTATCCGGCATATCCGGGCGACGCGGCGGCGAGTTATATGGCGCGGAGGACGACTGAGGTAGCTTTTTCCTTTCAGAATCCCAAAAACAACTTTTATCTTGCTTTATTTATTCCCATTCTTATGTTTTTATCCACAAAATCCGATTTTTAATTAAAAAAACTACTTTAGGCACCGCCAGTCGTTAACCCGCTAGAACTATTCTCTAGGCCTCTTCAGAACTTCATCGGAACCCAGAATCGAGACCAACGGTTAGTCATTGTTGCCGGTCGTTGATTTGATGCCAACAGGGCTCTAAAACGCTAATTTTAGGGTCCTCGAGACCGGAAACGACGCTTTTGATCGCCTCGTGGTTCACGAAAATGAGGGTGGAGGCCTGTTGAGTAATCGGTGGAATAAGCGAGGTAAACAAACTAAAAATTCATCAAATGTTAGCAATTTGATCAATAAAAACTAAATTACGTTTCCACAGGGCTCCAATGGACGGACGGGAACCTGAAGCTGGTCAACATGAAAGGCAGCGATTTGCTGGGATCCGAGGTACAGAAAAACATTTTTACGACTACAAGCTTGCTGGCTTCCGTACAATTTCGTAACTGCTTCCAGGTTGCCGTCCACGATCGCTCTATCGACATCCCCGTCCAATCGTGGATAGACCTCGCTTCCGGTCTGGTCAGCTCGGCCCAGGGCCACGAGCGGCAACAAGACGACGAATTCCGCGCCTAGCATGTACAAATTGCAACTAATAAACCTAATGAATTTCTCGGAGCATCGATAGATTTTTCTGTAAAATTTATAGAAACCAACAAAAAACCCGAAGACAGAAAAACAGCAAAGTGAAAAGTGGAAAACTTAGAAAGCGGACAGTCCAGCGGAGCACGAGCCTCCCTTCGGCGGCTCCTTTGTCGTGGAGTAGTCCTCGAAGGCGGGCGGGAGGTGGAGAACCTGAAAAAAAACGTTAAAAATGAAATAAACAAATAAAAATTTAAATAAATTCTTTCGCATTATCGGGGAAGCGAAATTTTTTAGATAAGACTGGGAATGCCTAGTAACTTAGTATGACGAATTTTAATCGTGTTCTTAGTAAAATAAAGCTGTATTCGGACAGAAAACTATCTAAAAACTTCAAAAGAAATTTTAAAAGGTGAAATTTCAGTGGGAAATTTATACTTTTGTCTTTGTTTAATAAAACTGCAAGTTTTTACATTAACGCATAGCAAAAAAAAATTTTCGAAACACGCCGCTATTGATATTTGAAATCCTAATCCGAAGCAAAAAAAGTGATTTCCAACCCCCGATAACGCGAAAGAACCTTACAGTCAAACCATTAAATACGTAAAATCGTTACCTTAATATCAAAGTGCCTCCGATGCAGCTCGAACGTCAGATCGGTGGCGGCGGGCTTGAAGGCGAGCGTCGTGTGCAGGCAAGGCAGTCGAATTATCTAAAAAAATCATTGAAATGTGTGTTTTTGGCGTTTATTACCTTAAAATAGCCGTGCGTCTTGTCCGATAGCCCGAGCGCTTTTCGCTGGTTCTCCTCGATTGGCGCCAACTGGAACATCGCATCCGACAGCGCGGTGATCGTTCGTAGTAGGTCTTTCTAAAACAAGAAATTTCATTTTTTCTAGGTTATAATATACCTGAATAGCGCCCGAATCTATCGTGGCCATCACGACGGCGTACGAGTGTCGGCAAGCAAATCTGAAAAAAAACGTAAAAATTTACAAAAAGCCATTTACCGTAAATCAGCGAGGAACCGCGGCAAAAGCTCCAAATTCGACCAAAGTGGCGAGCCCAAATTGCTGAGAACGACTCGCAGAAATCGCTTTTTCGAGCCCTAAATCAGATCGATAAAGAAAGTTTAGAAAACGTACCTTGATTTCCTTGCTATACTCCTCCTTTGCCAATTCTTGTTGTATTTTCGCCAGCGCCGCTTCGTAGTCCATTTCGGCAATGTGGGAAAGACGACTTCCGGAAAACTCGGGCTTCTCGAGGTTGTTGGCCAGGTCGTAGCGGGTTTTCGGGGCTCCTACCTGGAAATTAAAACCTGTTAATAAAGACAGTGTTGAAAACTAGCCTGACAAAGTTTGATATTTCGTAAAAAAGAAGAGTATAAGCTTACATTAGTCGACTTCTGGTCCACCGTCTGATATCGCCAGGCGATTTTCAGGCCCTCATCCGGGAAAGCCGATTTCATGTCTTAAAATGCGTCTTTCCACGAATTTAACCAAAATCATACCCTTAGATTCCGCCTCTATTCGCTTCGGCAGTCTCTTGAATAAGTCTTCCGAGCCCGGACCGGCGGCCAGCACGTCGTGACCATTGTGGGCGCCTTCCGAAGCGAAATATCGAAGCAGCACGTCGCCGTAGCATCTGAAATATTCAATTTCCAACCCGCTAGCTCAATGACCTTGTATTTAACTCATCGACCACACAAACTGCCGTATTCGGAAGCGCCCCGCCGAGCAGTGAATCGAGATCCGAATTGCCTAAAGAAATCTATAACAATTATAAGCTACGTTAAACACCTGTGGACGTTTGAAGGTAACGCAATTTGTGGCTGCAGCCCTGGATTTGGACGGGGTCGCCGGATTGAAGCATTTCGCCTGAAAAAAATACAGATTTCCAAATTCTGAACTTCGCCAATATAAAAAGCGAATAGGCTAGGGTTTATAAGATTTAACAAATTTTAAAGTTTAAAAGTATAACTTTTAAGCCGAGTTTTTATTTCACGCCCGAAACGGGGTTGTAGTTTGTATTCCCTTGCGTAATCGACTCGCCAAGAAAATGCCACAGCATAAAGTGCAAAACTTTTGCTCAATATTTCCTCATCCATTTTTTAACTAAAATTGACTAAATATTAGATGGATAATGATCTAGTTTTACGCCAAATAGTCCATAATGCTTGTAAGACCATTTTGATCGCCCCCGAGCCCGTAGATGAACAGGTAGCAAGGCTTTAATAAAAACGATCAAACTCTTGATAGGAATGCCCCAATTGCCACGAGAAAATCGCCGATTTTGAGACGAGATTCACGTTACGATTTCCCTTGATGCAGCAGGAATCTCTCAAAAATTGTTTAGTTTTGAAGCCGTCGGCCGGGCATTTCAAGGAGTAAGCTTTCAAAAAAATCAGCGAAATCGAGAATTTAGCTTTGCGCAGGGCGAGAATCTTCATATTGGGGTTGCTGACGGCTCGGGGGTTGTTTATTCGTTTTGGGGAGGTTAGTTAGCGTAACAAAATATTAATTTTTAGGCGTTTTGTGCGAAAATTTCGGGTGGGATGGTGCCATTTCGGTGCTGGACCTCGGGGCGACGACCCCTTTCTTCGAGGAGCTTTTAAAAGAGTTTCTAGAGCAAAAGAAGGGCATTTTCACAAAAGAGGTGGGATAATAGACGAAAACGTCATAAAAGCCAATTTTCTAGACTTACGACGAGGCTAACCATAATTGTTTCGATTTCATCATCCAATTGCTCAACTTTATTGACTATGACGAGTATACAAAGGTAGTTTCTGGCTAGCTAAACCGTAGAAAACGACGAATTCGATTAATTCTAGTTTTTAGGAGGAGTTTGTCGACGAGTTTATCAAAAAGCGGGTGGAAACGACGCTTCGCTATTTTATTCTGGCCGCACGTGTGAAAGCTCAGGGGCCTTTGCTTTGCGGCGGTGCTGAATAAATTGTATTATCCACGCTATACGCTTATTTCGGGCAAAGTTATTGGTCACGAATATTTGATGCGATTGAAAAACTTTCACGTTCCATTTCTCGAAAGCAACCACTTTCGGCTTGTTCATCTGGTCCCTCATTTCCGGTTCCATTTGGGCGTAATTGGGCGGATTTCCGCTGATTTGAATGTCTTTTTCTGGTTTTCTTCTCTAATTTTTTGGTTGCCACTTTACTGACCCTTTTTGTAGGCTCCAAGAAGCGTCGATTTGTCTACCATGGCCGACTGTTTCGAGCACACTGACGACGTGGACGCCGATCGCGCCGCCGACATGCGCAGCTTCCAGAGCAGTCAGGTATGCATTTTTCATATTCAAATTTGAGTTTTTACAGTTTGACATCTTCACCCACGACTACCGCGAGTACTCGGACCAGCTGGAAGCCGAGAAGCCGAAGGGCGAGTGCTCCAACTGTGGCTGTGGCAAGGGTAAGTCTTTTTTAACCAAACAAGTCTTGTTTTTTTAGAAAACGACGACTGCGGGCCGGGCTCGAAGGAGAAGAAGGAGCTGGTCAACCTGCACCGCAAGCTCGGCAAGGTCCACAAGATTCTGCTCACCCGCAGGTAAATTGAGGCGTTTGAAACGACGGAATTTTTGTTTTGTACAAAGAACTAAAATGCAAATGTAAGCTTTTTCAAAACGTCTAAGAGAAGAAAAAAATAGAAATATTTTTTTGCATCAAAGAACCATGTTTCTACGTTCGGAATCAAAAATGCCGTATTCAGCACACTTTAAAATCGAAGAACATGTTAAAACAAGGTTTTTTTGCGTGCGTGAAGCTTTTTATTTTCGATTTTTATCTTTTCTTTGCAGGAACGACTCGATGGAGATCAACAACGAGCTGCTCGACCAGTTCGAGACGGTGCACCGCGACCTCTCCTCCTACCTGCGCGGCGACAAATCCGAGTTCACACCAACTACAGTAATTTATTGTTTTTATGCTTTTTTTATCAGCTTTTTCAGGTCGATTTGCCCGACTTTGACCGCGACGACATGGAGCTTCTGCTTGGCGAGGCCCCCGGCCTGCCTTCAATGATGGAGGTGCTCAAGGGCGCCCAGCAGTCCGACGCTCAGCGGGTAAAACTTGTCATTTTTCCGATATTTTTCGTTTTAGTTAACCGAGCTGATGTTCATGGGCGACCTGCTGCTCACCGAGTACCAGCACATTTGCCACGGCATCTAGGCGACGACCGACACTGCCACGACGTCTAGTCAACACGGCAACTACTCGCCGTCCCCTCCCTCCCCCCATCAACTCTTTCCGGTTCAAAATGCCATGCATATCTCTCTATTGCACCCCCACCCCCCCGCCCCTAATTCTAGCATTTACTCGGCTCCCGTGATTTGCTACTTATTCGTAATTTAATAAGTCCCCCGCATCCTCGCATCCATTTTGTTATGCGCATCCCTTCAAAAAAAATTTCATTCCAACACCCCCGCCGTTACGTAATATACGATCGTTAATAAATTTCAAAAAAGCCCAAAAATCTATGCAAATTATTGTGATTTTGGGGTTGTTCACAAATATTTATTGCGCCAGCAGCTCGCCGAGGGGATCGACGCCGCCGGAACTGGGGCAACGGCTTGAAGCACTCGCAGGCCGTGCGGTTCTTCGTCGTCTCGGTATCACGCTGTGGATAGCAAAAGCCGCCCTCCATGCCCTGAAATGAAAATTGCGTTCCTGAAGGTATAGCAAAAGAACGATTATTGATGTCTAAGTGACTTCTTGGGGTTTTGCTAAGGTTTGTTTTTAATTTAGTCAAGCGCCATTGTGAACTTTTGCAAACGCGCAATTGCGTCGTTTTTCAGATAGGCTTGCAAAACTGAAAATTGACCATTCTGAAAGTTTTTAGATACTAAACATCAACTAGTTTACAATTTTCTTAGCTACGCGGAGAGCCAGTCTGCGATTTTTAGGCAATCTCGGGTGACTATGAAGTATTTTTTGGGCTCCCGGAAATAGAGTGCGACATGAAACGAGGTTATTCGGCTTCTAAATTAAATTTTTAGCCGATAGGAACTGCTGCCAAGCCGCTTTAGAAGCTGAAGAAGATACATAAGACTTCAGAGATCTGCTATTATTAGGCTTCCACCCCATAAGGACATCCCCCCATGTCTGGCCCATTACGCAATGGTGCGTGTATGTCTGTGTGTTTGTTGACAATTTCACTGGGGTTCTTTTTAGGCTCCCTGGCCCGTCTGCTCTCGCTGCCCTCTCTAGTCCTTGTTTTTCGCTTGGTGTTTTTGCGGGGGGCTCGCTGTCGATTCGCTAGCGCATAAAAGCTAGCCCCCGGCGCGGCCCCGGGGGTTCGGTTTGAATTTTTGATAGATTTCTGGGTTTAGATTTTTATTAGTCGTTTGGAAAGCCTTTTTACTATCAAAATGCTTGGAGTGCTCATTTTTTCATACGTTGAGAAATTTTGGACTTTTGTTGATGTCTTTTTGAGCTAGATCTCAGCCTTTATTGCTTTTTCTCCGCAGATTTTGACTCTTTAGGGCTTCTTTTTCGAGCTAAAACCTTATTTTCGAGCGTTTCACTAGACTTACCTTATTTATCTGGACTACTACTGACCTTAATTTTCCTTTTCAATTTTAAAAAAAACATTCTAGCTTTTTTCCGGCTTTTCTGCTGATATCTGGGGTTTCCAGGCTAGGCGTTAGAGCTGAAGCCTCCATTTTGTTTTTGCTTTTTAGTGTTTTAGTGGCAATTAAAATTACCGTAATGTTTATTTTAGATAGACTTCGCACAATTCTAACGATTTTTCGTTTTTCCGGGTTGTTTCTGAATTTTTGAGGCCGTGTTTTAAAGTCTAAACCCTCGTTTTTGAGCTTTTGACGTCGCGATGCGCTGTTTTTGCCCTCTATCAAATTCCGCGGATTCTTTTGCCATGTTTCCGGCGTTCCGTGATTTTTCCATTGACACGTGGTTGGAGATCGCGACACCGAGATTGATTTGCGAAACGCGGCAATCATCCGCCACCCCCGATCTCCACCCCCTGATATCACACTTTTTGTCACTTTCCCTGGGGGTTGATACCGTTGGCTGGCATTTCCATTCACTTTCTAAAGGTCAAGCACTTTGCGCCCAATTGCCACGCTTTGTAGGTGGTTTGTAGGGGTTGTAGAATTCGATTATCCATTTTTTATTTTTTTAGAAAATGGTATTTTTTATTTTTCGAATTTTGGCCGATGGCGCTATTTAGCCAGTTTTTGAAAGCTTAGCCTTTCTTTAAAAGACCGTTTGCGAGAGACCCGAACAAGGCTTGGCACAATTTTTTTCGACCCCCATTTTTTGATGCCATCTGATAGAGCGTGGTCGAATTAGAGGAATCGCACTAAGTTGGGATTTTTAAATTATCATTTTCCTGGTTAAACAAGGCGTTAAAGTTGCCAACGTCGAAAATTTATCTCGACAACCACTTGACAGAATTGGCTGAAACTTTGTGACTAGGCCTAATTTGGGATGGGGATCATTTTTCTAATACATCGCGAAGCACGAAAATTAGCAGAACCTAGTTAAATTGCATCCCCAAAACAGTTTTTGCCGAATTTCAAATTAACGGCGAGTCGGCCGCAAGCTGGAAATAGGCTAGAAAGATGCGCAAAATTTTTCTGCATCGATTGATGTATTATTTAGGTGGCGGTCAGGTCGCCGTTTTCTCACAGCGAGCTTTTTATAGGTGAAAAATGGTCTGAAAATCTGACTAAAATGGAAAATATTGTAGTATTTACATATCGGAGTAGTCAAAACCCATTAAGAAATCATGCCAAGTCGATTGCAAAAAAGAGCAAAAAGAAATTCGGCTTCTGAGAGGGAGCTGGGATTGAACTGGCGGTGGCTCTGGATTGGCACGCCGACGCTCTACTCACTGCGCCACAGGGCTCCCAGGCGGAGGGTCCGGGTTCGATTCCCGCCCAAAACAAGCACCCCTTCAAATGTCGAATTTCTTTTTGCTAATTTTTGCGTTTAGCTTGGCGTGATCGTTAAATGTGATCCCATGGGTCAAAACATAGAAAATCGCAAGATTTTCCATTTTGGTCAGATTTTCAGACCATTTTTCAGCTATAAAAAGCTCGCTGTGAGAAAACGGCGACCTGACCGCCACCTAAATAATACATCAATCGATGCAGAAAAATTTTGCGCATCTTTCTAGCCTATTTCCAGCTTGCGGCCGACTCGCCGTTAATTTGAAATTCGGCAAAAACTGTTTTGGGGATGCAATTTAACTAGGTTCTGCTAATTTTCGTGCTTCGCGATGTATTAGAAAAATGATCCCCATCCCAAATTAGGCCTAGTCACAAAGTTTCAGCCAATTCTGTCAAGTGGTTGTCGAGATAAATTTTCGACGTTGGCAACTTTAACGCCTTGTTTAACCAAGAAAATGATAATTTAAAAATCCCAACTTAGTGCGATTCCTCTAATTCGACCACGCTCTATCAGATGGCATCAAAAAATGGGGGTAAAAAAAACTGTGCCAAGCTATAATGGGGACTGTTCGAGTGACTCGCGGACGGCCTTTTAAAGCGATACCGACGGCATGGGTCGATCACCACTGATCGACTTTTTGGCACGTAGCCAACAGGGCAGAGAACCCCCGAGGGGCGAGACGCAGAGACATTTTCTTTACCTCGCGTCACCGATTACTTATGCCGTCGTGATCCCTTTAAGCATCCTTGTAAATTATATTTTTGAATTTTGCCAGTTTTTCTCAGGCTTTTGGCTTGTCTATTTTTGCGGCTGTTTGACCGTGGTTCGCGTATTCAAAATTAGATTATTTTTCTGGATTATAGCTGCAGCATACCTGTTTTATACACATCTTATTGCATTTCTGCTGCTTCTCCCGGCATCTATCCCCATCCAGCGGTGCCTTGTACTCATAACATTTGCAGCTAAAGTCCTGGCCGTCCCAGCCGGCGCAGTGGCCGTACCTAAAAATGTTTGTTGAATTTACTTTTGTTGGCTTCCCGATCCCTGTAAAATAACCGTGGTCAGACTTGGCATAGAATCTTATCGTTTTTTACCCTATTTTTAGCGGCGCGTTTCGTACATCAAAAATTGCCCCTTTCCCCTGATCCTCGTCACACTTTTTAACGGCGTTTACATAGGTGGCCGATAATCGGCTCCTCAAATACCGGGGGGCCAGTCATGGGGCAATGTTTTTCGATTCCACTTTTCCATTCACCACCCCCATTTTTTGCCGCTATTTATTGGCCCGTGTTTTCGACGGCTTATCGCGTTTATACAACCTATTTACCGAATTTTTGAGGGAGTGTGTGAAATTTATTATTGTTTATTTGAGGACTTACCAGAACGAGTCACCCTTGCATAATTCATCACACGTCTGGTGATCCAGCCAGCCGCAGAGACCACTAAAATAAAATATGATTTTTTTGATTAGAATTCCCAAATGATCTCTGCTAGCCTGCCCCTTCCATTCCCAAATGATCTCTGCTAGCCTGCCCCTTCCATTCCCAAATGATCTCTGCAAGCTTGCCAACCCCTATCGTTCACTGCCCTCTAAAATTTGCCCTCCCCAAATGCCCTCCTGTAGGTAACAGCGTATACGTGCCATCAGAGTTCCCGTTAAGATCCGAAAAAAGTCTACCCGGTAGAGGGGAAATGGGGCGCACCTTTAAACGGTGGTGCTTGGGGCAGAAAAAAGCAAAGAAGAATCAGAAAAGGTGGATGGGCTATAGATGCAGATTGGTTACACTAACCGGTTCCGCCGGATTCAATAGATGCCCTATCTCTCTCACTCTCTCACTCTCTCCCTCTCTATCTCTTTCTCTCTCTCTCTCTCTCTCTCTCTCTCTCTCTCTCTCTTTTCTCTCTCTCCCCTGTCCTTACCTGGCCATTCGGAGCAGCAGGAATAGGGGCACGATGAGGCGTAGGGTGGCGCTGATCTGTGGTAGATGGTGGAGGGAGGGCATCTAGGGGGTTGTTTTTAAAGGGATGGTGACAACGGATATAGAAAAAAAATCAAGTCGCGTAAAAGAAGACCAAAACGGTCTAAGGTTTTCCATCAGCTGGGAGTAGACATACGGCAGGTTCAAAGTATACTTTTTCGCCTCGGTTCTCGTCTCTCATGCTCAAGGAGTTCCTTCTCCCTGCGAACCCGTCGTGTTGGAGGTTCTGTTTTGTGCTATTTTGGGCAGAAAAAGAGGGGGAAGAGGCCCTGTCGATGCGTCGAGCACTTTCATCCATCGTCCACTTACAGGTATGCAAAATGATGCAAAAGGGCGGACGTTTGGCGTTGGGTAGATGGATTTCAGCGGGAAAAGCGGAAAATTGGAACGGTCAAGCAGGGGGTTCTAATTTGGATAGCGTCGCCAATTAATGGTGGTGCCTTAATGGACTGAGGTTAAATTGGGCTAGAAGCGCTGGGCAGCTCGATTTTTTTTGTAGATTCTAAAAAGGCGTCGTCGCTGCAGGAATAAGAATCCGATAGTAAGCTTGTTGTAGTATAGTAAGTGGTGATCCTGATCCAATGGAGCGCAAGGCTGGATTTTAACTCCTACTTTTCTGTTATAGCGTGATTTAACCTTATGAAAATGTGATTTCCTGAACTCCAAACCGAAAGCTATGCCATAAGCAGCCTGAACTTCCGGCACGCCTAAACCAGAATGTTACGCGCAAGCTGGTCGTGCTAGCCGGGGCGAACATAGCACCAAAAATAGCTTGAGCGCGAGCCCGAGAATGCGCACATAAAGAAGGCTTTTCTTGAATCAACAGATGTATGCCGAGAGCTCGTTTTAGCCAGAAAAGGAAAACATCAATAAAAGCTGGTAGATTTGCAAGACTATAGTAAACTCCCAGAAATCCGGACAATCGCCCGACGTTAACCAAATTTTGTGTGGTTTGGGCTACTTGACCCAAACCTTGAAGGCGTCTCGGGAGGGCGCCCCATAAAAAAAGCGCGTCATCTATTCAAATAGGCAACTTTGAGAGAGAGAGAGAGAGAGAGAGAGAGAGAGAGTGAGAGAGAGAGAAAGAGAGCGAGACTGAGAGCTTTACAGAACCCCTTAAAACCCTTTAAAAATGGCCGTGGGAGCGCCAGGATGTCTCTCTTGGAGCACCAGTATGGGAGAGTGACCGGCGTGTCTGGAAGTTGAGGAGGGGAGGGGAGGGGCATCTGAGACTCTAAAGGGGAGTGTTAGTTGTATAACCTTAGCGATTAGGAAAACGATCACTCATGCTCGTGCTCGGTTTTTTGAACTGATTAAGTGATTGTTCTCATCTTTGGTTCGTTCGCTCGCTCATTCTCTGTCTCTCTCTCCCTCCCCCCTCTCACTCTCTCTCTCTCTCTCTCTCTCTCTCTCTCTCTCTCTCTCTCTCGTTCTCGTCTCTATTTTTCTCCTTTTGGCCACTACAATCCCATTGTCAGATTTCTACAATTTCCACGAACCGTGATGGGAGAATGGTGCGGGCACAATTTGCGGGATATTGCTGTAAGTAGTTTTGGTATTTTTCAGTTTTTACTGGCTACAATGTAGTTTTTACCTCAAATGTTTTAGGGCTGGAAAGCCAGCGGGCTTTCAATGACCACAACTTCTGATGAGTGTGCAAAAATGTTTGACGCTTCCTTGAGGCAGTTGATTAGGTAGGTTAATAAGCATGACCAAACGGCTTGGAAGTTAGTCCCTGTCTTTCAAAAATATTTTTTGAAATACTATTTTAACGTCCGCTTTCAGTTGGATCCGTTGTGAGCAGCTTGGTGGAATCGACGAGACGATGACGAGAATGCTGCTGGCTGATCCCTTAGCTTGTAGGGATCTCTCTTGCTCTCTTTTTATCTCGCTCTCTCACTCTCCTTCTCGCTCTCTCTCTAGCTCACGCTCTCTCTCTCTCTTTCTCTCTCTCTCTCTCTCTCTCTCTCTCTGGCGTTCTATAGCATCACGCATTTTCAGTGATCCCTCGAGCCTTCGCCGTGGCTCTCAAAACTCTGGCCACCTCCCATTCCTACCGTATCGACAAGGAATACCAAGAAGAAGTGGAGGTAACCTAAAAGTTACTGTTATAGCTATACGTATTCTTAGACGTTATTAAGCGATGCTAAAGCCCACCCAACAGCTTCAGAGAGGGAAAAGCAGCACTGCTATGCAGCATGCCTCTATGCGACTGGGTGAGCCAGCAGGGATCATTTGGGAATGGAAGGGGCAGACTAGCAGAGATCATTTGGGAATGGAAGGGGCAGGCTAGCAGAGATCATTTGGGAATGGAAGGGGCACTTTGGAAAAACGACCACTTTTCAGCCACAAAGCCCGAGCCTGTGTGATTTGGGAAGAAATCCTACGCGAGCATCCAAACGACATGATGGCCGCCAAATTTGCACATGATGCGTACCTTTGCTTACAATTATCTATTAACGCGTTTTAATTAGTTATTTCTTCATGGGCGAGTCGGAGCAGAAGAGGGACAGTATTGCGAGGATTATCGATAAGGTGCCGTTGGAGGAACCGTGTGCCAGGTGGGTGGAGAGAGAGATAGAGAGAGAAACAGAGAGAGAGAGAGAGAGAGAGAGAGAGAGAGAGAGAAAGGGATGAATCAGGGTAACGAATTCACATGAATTTTTTAAGCTACCTCCATGGCATGTACGCTTTCGGCCTGGAAGAGTGCGGCGAGTACAAGAAAGCTGAGGAGCATGCAATTACGGTGGGTCGATAGGCGGAAGGCTACTTTCTGGCTTTCCAGCCCCTTTAAAGACCATTTTAGGGACTTTCACTGCAACGTCAGGACTGTTGGGCCACCCACGCCAGGGCCCATTGCATGGAGATGAACGGGAGGACTAGAGAAGGACGGGAATTTTTGGAGAATACGGTGGCTGATTGGGAGGTACGCTAGCTTGACACTGGCATACCGTAATCAGAAAAAACCAAAATCTACCCCCTAGGATCGGCTGGGTCTAGACAACTCCCCGGGGCGCCAAAATACGCTTTACGCTATAAAATACGGTTTTCGAGCGCCAAAACTCGGCTTTAATATTACGCCTTTTGGCTTGCCGCGCAACTGTCTAGACTTAATCTATGGAGCGGTTCGACGAGCGTAGCCCATCAAATTATCTATAATTTCAGCCCTGCTACATGCTAGCGACGCATAATTATTGGCATAATGCACTGTATTACTACGAGGATGGCGATTACGGGTCGGCGCTGACGATTTTTGACGAGTAAGTCGTTCAAAACTTAAACGCTTTAAAGGGACTCGGAAGCCGGAAAATCGAAAATTTTTATTGACAGGTCTCGCCAACTACTCTACAACCCATTAAATTCATTCTGAATTTTTATCGTTTCTTATAGAACTTTTCCAGAAAAATTGCTCCTCGGCAAGCCGCTTCTCATGGGCTTCTGGACTATGTTGATGCCGCTTCTTTATTAATGCGACTAGAGTTAGAAGGCGTCAATGTTGGGGAAGAAAGGTAGGGAGAAGCACTAAAAAAGACTAAAAAAGAGAGAGACAGAGAGAGAGAAAGAGAAAGACAGAGAGAGAGAGAGAGAGAGAGAGAGAGAGAGAAAGAGAGAGAAAGCCGAGCTTCGAATTACAATTAGATTTTGTTTAGCTTTTCGAAATTGATTCATTTCAGGTGGAAAACCCTATTCTCTCCCGATAAACATGTTGGTGATCACGTCATCCTGTTCAACGACGTCCACTTCTGCCCAGCCTTGATAAAGAGCGAGAAGGACAGCATCGAGAAGAAGCTGCATGCCAGTCTGGCACGATATATTAGCGATCAACCACTGTAAGTTGCTTTTACATACTCTGAAAGTTGTCATTGATTGCTGACGAGTGCGAGCGGTCGCGTTTTCGCGCGAGCGATTTTTTGTGTTCGCTTTTCAGCTCTCTGAAACGGAGTAGCGATACGCAACGCGTCCGCACGCATCAACGAATAGCTTTAAAACAGCATGTTTACCTACCTCTTTTACCTCTTTTTTACCTACATTACCTCTTTTTCAGAGGAATCTACGGTGATAACCAAGTGATTAGCCATGACGTCGCTCCACTGCTGTATGAAGGGATGAGATCGTATGCGAAAAAGGAGTAAGTGCGAAGTTATTTAACTTAGCTTAACTAGCCTAACTTATTTAACGATTTTCGCGGGATGCAATCAGATTTAATTTAAGTCTAGCTTAACTTGTTTAACGCCGACAGCACTGAAAACGCTTATAATTGTGTTTTTTTAGATGGGAAAACTCGGCGAAACTGATCGCAAAATGCCACAGCCAAATTAAGCGGATTGGAGGGAGTACGGCTCAGGTAAGTCTTTCTCTCTTTCTCTCTCTCTCTCCTTCTCTCTCTCTCGCTGTCTCTCTCTCAATAATTTTTTTCTAGCGTGACGTCTTCACCCAAGTGCTTCTCAACTCCTGCTTGAACACCAAGAAGAAGCCGTATCTGGACTTGGGACTGTAAGTCTTGCTAAAGAGAGAGAGAGAGAGAGAGAGAGAGAGAGGAGAGAGAGATTTCAACTTTTTCAGCGAATTCCTGAACCGGCGCGACCAATACAAGTTTAACTCCGGCATCTCGCAGCGGATGCGTCCGAAATTCGAGAAAGGGCTATTGGAATCGAAATCATCTTCATTTAAATTATTTTAATTCTGTTTTTTTCGTTTTTGCAGTTTTTGCAGCCATGCTATATAATTCCACCTGCGTAATATAATAAAGAGCTTTTGTAAATGTTCTGTTTTCAGGGTTAAACTTGAAAGCTTGCCATTTTCGATACATTTTTAGCTTTTGCCAGTAGTTTAATTCGTTTAGAGTGGATTTCAACTGATTGAAACGAAATTAGGTTTTATTTTTTTTTAGCAAATACCAATCAAAACATATAGAATGGTTGTAAGATGTCGTTTCTACAATTAGAAATAAAAATTTATGATTTTTGCATCATCAATTCTTTACAGACCCGTACCAAGAGATGGCTGATATATTTAATTACAAGATGGAAAAGCAAGCAATGAAATAGCCGAAAAATCACAATATTTGAAAGAATCATGCAAGTGACTAGATTTGGGATATGAGGTCTCAAAACGTCAGGAGGAGAAAAATCGAGAAAATTGCTGAAAATCCTGACGGGACCCGGGGCGACGAGGAGCTGACAATGACGAGGACAGAAAAAGCATAGAAAGTTAAGGTTACAAAAATGGATCAAATCAATGTTAGGATAAGAATAATGAAAATAAAAATACAGAAAATAATAAAGAAATGTGGTATTTTATCGAGTATGCGGATGAGGTGTGCTCCAGAGCGTTTGTAGCCAAGTTTTTGTCTCGAGCGGCCGGGTCCTGAAAAAGCAGCTATAGTTTCTTCAGTCAAACGTTTTTATTCTGGATTAATTTCTAGTTTTGACACTTTAATTTTTAGTACAACTTACTACGGCTTTCATTGGACGATATTGCTACATTTTCCAAAGTGAAATCTACCTTATCGTCCCCAGACCCTTCCACGCCGTCTTCGTCAGTCTCCTCATCTACCAGTCGATGTCGTTTTTCCGGATTCAGTAGTGGGTCGTCTTTGATTCCGGCTGCTGTCTTGACTCTGGCTGAGAGCATTCCGAGCTTCAAACGCTCATCGACGAACAGGCCTGAAACGTTTTGATTAAGTTAGTCGAGGGAGGCTAGCAGAGCTTCTTAAAGGGATACCCAAGGTTTTGGCGGCAAATATATAGTTATGGATTCCGGGCAGTACAAATGACGGCGAATTTTGTGCGGCAATGGCGGGCCATTGCCGCACAGAATTCGGCCACCTTTCCCACTTGTGGCTTCCCCATCCCACCCAATGTCTTGCCACTATGGCCTAATGGATGGTAGCCAGGCCTACAAAACGGGGGTCTCAGGTTCGACCCCCGCCCGTGGCATGGTTTTTGCTTTTTGAGCCCCGAAAAGGTTGGGAAGGAAATCCGAGCGACTATTGAGATACGTCGGAGACATCGTACTCACCTCGATATTCAAATCCTCGTTTCCCTTGAAATTCCGGATTTCCCCGCTGCGCGGTTGTGCCATGGCCGTTCACTTCCAAGGTGTAGCTGTCGACTTTCAGCCCATTCCAACATTTTGTATTGGCGCCCGTGGAAAATTGGGGGTCAGAGCAGACACCGTCTGGCAACGATTTGAAGAAGCCGGTGTTAGCTATCGCCTGGAAATTCATAGAATTTTCAATAAATCATTAACACGAGAAAATGACTAGTTTCCCCGTAGGAGGCAAGCTAGCAGAGCTCCTTGGAGAACTTTTTAACGGTACCGGGGCGGCAAAAATCGACCCCGTCCTTGGCTAGGTCTAGACAGTTACGTAATTTTCCGAAAAAGTCTTTGCAGAAGCGTTTGAACAATGTAGAATCCATAATAATTTAAAATGAGGCTCCAATGACATTGCCAAGATTCGTATGTATCGTAGCTGTCTAGACCTAGTAATCGCTTGGGTCGAATTTTCCACTTCCAAACCCCTTTAATTAGTTTCTTAAAGCAACATGCAAGCTAGCAGAGATTTTTTGGGAATTTGAGCTTCCAAGGCGACTTACCTTTTCCTTGAATCCCAGCATCAACCCGGCAAGCAGCTTCCAGCTCCCGTCGGCTTGTTCGGCTACATGTCGTAGCCAGACGGCTCTTCTCTTTCTTCCGGTTTCGGAATACTCCGAGTCCTCTTCGCTACTCCTTACACCCCTCAGCTCGAAATCTTCTTCCACCGGGACATGCCGCCTCACATGATATACATGTCGTAATTGTTTGGTGCCGAAGATGTCCTCGATCGGGAAGCAGTTCGCCAGGATCTAAAAAAATGTTATATTTCCGTAAAAAAATGTCTCTGGCCGTCTCTCTCTCTCTCACTCTCTCTTTCTCTATCCTCTCTCTTTCTCGCGCTCTCTCTCTCGCTCTCTCTCCCCCTCTCTTTCTCTAGCTTTGCTCTCATTTTTTCTCTTCTTTTTGCGGTGCTACTTTTGGTATATTTTTTGGTATTTTCCAATTTTTCTGGAGCGGAAACTCAGAGCAACAAATATCCCCCATTGTTGGTAGCTGGTCCCCCAAAAACCCAGCCAGCCACCCATATTAGAATAGTACACAACAGAACTCTGGATATCCAGTGAAATCGGACCTCCCGATTCACCCTACTAAAAGGCCGGCAAAGCAGAGTGCAACATCGTAAATCTGTGCCTTACGTAGGGGCTCCAAAGAACGCAGAGGGATCTGGTTACGAGACGTTGATTATGCCAAATTTGGATACGAAAATGGGAACGAACGAAGAAGGTCTAACGAAAAACTCTCTAAAGGGAATAATGAAGCGCAGAAATCGACCCTGGTATCGACTAGATCTAGATAACTACGGATAGCGTTTAATGACGCTTGTGAATATGATCCTGAGAACCTCTATCGACGAAACTTTAAAGCAGTAATTTGCTCCCTTTTAGCCGCTTCGTGCCGAAGTCTAGACCTAATCAATCGACGGGGTCGATTCTCAAGCTTCAATTTCCCTTTAGAATAGCCAAGATCCGCTCGTATAATCAATCTAATCAATACATCCTTAGGCCATTGAGTTAATCCGTTTTAGCAATCTGCCCCCATTCTGACAATGGCATCTGTTGCCACCTCCCGCCCAACTGTCAACGGGATTGCATCGGAATGCCCTGGGGCGCTTTTTGAGATGGATAGCCAGGGGTAGAGAGAGAGATAGAGAGAGAGAGAGAGAGAGAGAGATCTGATGGGCTGAGTGGGATAATCCCTTCGACAAACCGATAGCAACCTGGGGCTGTACCACCTATCCGATTACTTGGCACTTGAGAGGGGGCCATCATATGGTAAGGAGCAAGAACCAACTTTCGATATTTGAAAATCAGCACATCCTTCGATAACTCACCTTATTTGACAAACTGTCCCCATTTTCTTGAAACGTCATGATCGCCTCAGAAAGTTGTACGGGCAGCGGGTTGAAGGCGTTTTGGAGGCTGTACGGACCGGTGAGACCATCGACGAGCTTGCCGAGGGAGCCTGAAAGTGTTTCTATTCATTACTCTCGCATTACTAGCCATTTTTAACCCCTGTCAGGTCTTAAAAGTGTATTCTACTATCCAGGTTATGATCTACGGAACGTTGGGGCCACGAAGATCAAAGGCTGGATCCACCGTGCGGAGTGCTAGTTAACGACATGGGCCGATGATACTTTCAGATTAGGGGCTATGTTGTCTTTTGAAGAGACATGGCTTATAACAAGGCTTTGTTACCAACATGGGTAGTGAAAATATAGCGAAGTTCACACAAATTTTTATGGGGCGCTGGTTCAGCCTGATTGCCGGAATTTTGGGTTGATCTATAGATTCTACGTCGCTGAATTCTACAGGGGGAAATTCTAACACTTAATTAGTGGCTGGTTGAATCGTTGGACCGTCACAGATTATGCTGAATGAGCGCCTGTTATTGAGCATACTCGTCAATAGCACTTTGTTCGGCGATTAGGATACGCGACATGGGTGTCAAGGCCAAAAGGGTAATTACGGGGCTCAAGTTGCAGTGATACGACAGTAACCATTATGAGTTTACAGCTTTTCTTTGCTTAATTTTACTTCTAGGATTTTTGTCTTAATTTTCGATATTTGAGAATAAGCAGAAGGAATCGAAACTCCAAGTTGAGTCAAAACACTTTACAGTCAGGCCCTTTTTTCCGCGTTCCCATCCAATCTGATTCTCCATTTACGCATTCTCCTAATCTCCTGCATCGTAACTCATAAAGCAGGCCGTATTCGGGTTGTTTTGATGTGTTTATTTGCCGTTTCCCTGCAGCACAGGGCGGCCGCGCACGGTTACGCAATTGGCACCCAGCCACGCTGATCCCCAGTGACCCGGAATCGGGTGGACCCGGGGGGTATATTTATCGATTTCTGAGGTATGGCGAAACTATTTTGGGCTTATAAATTTCCGCACTTCCATAAAAAACAGGCAGAAATGTTTCTAGCAGATAAAACCGAATTAAAGTAGTTAGAATACGCGAAAACTTCGTGCCACAACCAGACACCTACGGGCTTCATTTTTACTATCTTCCATGGAATCAAGCTTCTCAAACCTGGCCCCTTACTCATCATGATTCCCTCGATTTCTTAATGGTCTCCTGGGCTTCTCTTCCAACCGGGGAACCGGTCAAAAATCGGCTTCTCCTCTCTTCCATTCATTTCCTGGAATAACACACGCCACCCACACGCCGGACATTAATCCCCGGCGTCGCGGCGAGCCGATCGCTTCGTGTTGGTCTTGATACTTATCAAATTAAAGCGAGAGAGAGAGAGAGAGAGAGAGAGAGAGAGACAACGACTCGAGCCTAGGATCAGTTGACAGCCCCCTTATTTACCCGGTCGCTCCAAAAAAATCTTCTTGCTTTGGCCCCCAGCCGGGGTGGGTAAGCAAACGGATCACGTCGATGGACGCTCGATGACAATCAGGGGGACACGGCCTGGATTTGAGTGCTGCTACGGCTGATTGGGGCTAACTTTAGAGAACCCGTGTTGGCTTTGAGATTCGAGATTGGTGGTGTTTGATCGGGTTCTCACAAAAAGGCAAAATGTGAGAATCGGCCCCTTCTATCAACTAGGTCTAGACAAATTCTGCCGCCTAAAATGACATAAATTTGACCGAAGGACCTTAAAAGCTCGAGCTATTAAGCTCGTGCTCTCCAATGGTCAGATAATTATTACCATCGGCTTGACCTTAGCTTCCACAATTTTCTAATGTTTAAAAAAGACCAATTACCCAGATGGCAGAGCTCTCTCGACAAGAGTCAATCGGTGCGCCGATGATTGATGCCAAGGCGAATTAGGGTGGAATAATTAGGCGGCTAAGGTCATGGCGAGGCCCAGATATTAACCAGTAGATCAATCAGTGTCAAAGCGACGGCAGAGCAAGAGCAACAAGCTCAAATAGCTAGCCGAAAAAAAGCCTAAAAATGTAAACGATGCGAAGGCGTCCAGAAAGGCAGAAAAGTCGTATCAAACCGTTTTGCGGCATTTCAAATGCTATCAGAATTTGGATATAACAAAAAAAATTAATTAGGATTGTGAGGCTAATGATAGGCAGTCAATGAGATGCAAAATAGGAAAAGAAGGAATTTCATAGTGTAACTACCTGCCAGCTCGTCCCACTGCTGGTCGACCTCTGCCCACTCGGCCAAACAGCCTCGCGCAACGTTTCGACACAGGTTCAGGCAGGGCTGAAAAATAAGCATGAAAACCACATCCATTCAGCTTTAATTTGTTTAGTAAACACGTTTTAAAGTTTTTAATGAGGTAATTCGGGCAAAAATCTTACCTTTGCCAGCTCAGCTTGTGTGCACATCGAGCAGTCACCAATTCGGGCCAGGTTCGCGGCGCATTGCTCGCTGAGCGTTGTCTGAAATTAGTTTGGTAACTGCCTGTCATTTTCGTTGTTTTTGATCCTTTGGTGCATTTTTTTTGAAACATTTTTCAACTTGTGAAGTATTTGAATTCATGAAAACACGGTAAAAAAAATTGGTATAATTTCGCGTTCAATATTTAGTGGTCTTTACTAGGTATTTCAGCGCCAAACCTCTCGCGACCCGTTAAAATATTCGGACCCCAAAAACAGCAATTTCTCCAGTCCATTAAAGAATACGATCTCCCTCCACTACGATCCTAAAAAAATGGCCTCCATTTGCTCCGGAGTCGGCAGACAGTATCATGAGTTTTAGCGCCTCACTCTTCTTTCTCTTTCTCTCTCTTTCTCTCTCTCTCTCTCTTTCTCGCTCTCTCTGTCTCTCTTGCTCTCTCTCACTCTCTCTGACTCCGTCACAGTTTCCGATTTCGGTAATGAGATTTCGGGAGAGGAAGGTGAAGGGAAGTGTTGGATGGGATTTGGTAGTTTTTATTGGATGTTCGGCCCTGGGCCAAAAATCCAGTTGCGAAACAGAGGCAAGGTGGCAGAGATCATTTGGGAATGAGACTGGAAGACCCGCGGATCTTTGCAGTTTAGCAGCTTCCTTTGTTTCCGCCTCAGGTCGTAAACAACTTTCGACCCCTAAACATTTTCAATACTTGGTGATACCTAGCCTCGGGCTATCTACCTCTCTGGTTGCCCACCCAGCTCTGTATGCCGTAATTACCGCGAGGCCAAATCGGAGACGGGGGATCGCCTAGGGGGGCAAACAGGGTTGCGCAAAGGGCGCCGAGACGACCCGATCCGTCGGATCGGTGACGGTATTGGATTTGACCTTTCTAGGGGGTAACTATCGATTTGGGTGGGGGGGGTGGATCAGCTGGCAAAGAAAAAAACTTGGTAGATACCTTACGCGCGAAACGAACGAATGGCTAAGCTGAATTCTAACGTAAAGGGTTCAGCTTCGACCCCTAACTGTGTCGAAAGGCCTATCTTTTTGAAAGTTTAGCTTCGCTTAAAATCGTGCTCCGAGAAAATCTGGAAGATTTGCGTTTGGATCTCAATTTTGACATGCACCTGAGCGCGATCTAACAAATTTTCCACACGGGGTCGGGCTTTTTGGGTTTCGTTTGGGCCTAACCGAAGTAAGGGGCCTTGCGCTGCACAGTCGGTTTAGAGAAGCTAAATATCTCCCTTCCGGGTCCCTTTAGCTCAATTACTCGGACCTCTGGCTTATGTTGGGTAAATTACGACCCTCTAACCGAATGGATGGCCCCCGCTGCGGGGCGTTGATCCCTCCAGTAATATGTCCGCGGGCCTCTGGCTAGGGAGGAAGATGCCAGGTGCCCCCTTCCTCTCTTACTGGTCAATCCACCTCGATCAAAGACATGGGGCCGCCGGCATTTGTTGCCAAGACAGGTCGTATTGTCTGCCCAGCCTCTCGGTTGGGTCAATAGCGCAATTTATGACCCCCGATACAACTAAGAGTAAGGCTGAAAAATGCCCGAATGCCTAAAATCCGACTGACAACCTTCGGACCACAAAATTCCGGAGAGCCAAAGGTTCATTTATTCAGAATCGAAAATTTAAGATATTTGAAAAATTCAAAACCGCGGCCATGCTTTTTTGAATTTTTTGAGGTTTAGCACCCCAGAATTCTAGGCAACAAAATGCCGATATTGCCGGCATTGGAACGTAAATTTGACAAATTTCGGAGCTTCCTAGCTGGATCGCGTGTCGGTTTTCACGCTTCCTAGTACCTTTAAGGGAGCCTCCAGCTGTATTAGCTTTCTCATCCCCGAAAATCGGCCCTCGATGATTTTGGGAGGCCGAAGACCCTGCACCTCCTCCATTCGGTGCTCTGCCCTTATGACTCAACCCATCGCACCAGGCGTCTACCATTTTTTGGCACCCACTCATCCCAGCCAGTACCCATATTCTGACAATGCCGAGGTGCCCCGAAAAATGCTAGCGGGTGGTTGGGTATATCGATTTGGGAATTGAGGAGTGAGAGACACAGAGAATTGTCGTGAAATCAGAGAAAACAAAGTCGAACTCACATTTAAAAAAGATCCCAACGCCGAGTGTGCTTCGTCGATCGACGATAAAAATATTCTCCAGCCGTCCAGCGCTCTCCGAAGCCCGTCTTTTACGCGAGTTGGCATCTCGCCAAATGGGTGAAGCTAAAAAAAACGTAAAATTGCTTTGAGCAAATTTTTCATACGTTTTCCAGCGATTTCCGCATGCAAGACCAGGTGGTGATGTCGAGCTTCTTCTGAAATACATCGTAAATTCGACAGAGGGTTTTTAGTGGCTCTAGAAGACGCGATAACCGACGTCTTCCATCACAGCTAGGCAAAACGCCAAATTACGAGTATAAGACCATGGAATTTTAGACAAAAAGCCCTTTTCGAGCAGCGAAAAATGAGATCAACAAGAATTTTAGCTCTCTCATGGCTGTCTAGAACCTAGTCAAAGGCAGGGGGTCGATTCTAGCGCTTCTGAGGCCCTTCGAGAAGCTTACCGTCGGGTTCATCAACAAAAATAGGGTCTTGTAGAGCTGCTCGAATAAGCTGTCCACCACCAGGTCGACCGGCATCACCGAGTGCGGGCTGGCGAAGGCTTGGAGCTGCTTGAAGAAGCTGGTGAACACCTGAAAAAGATTTCATTTTTAGATAGATCCTTCTCATTTGGCAGGAAGACAGCCCAGGTTCGATCCCCAGCCAGTCGCAGGGCTTTTTGCTTTTTGATCCCCCGCGTCAGCGGCAAGATTTTCTATTTTTTTAAAGTTTTATATGAGTTGGAAGAAAAGTCTCAATGTTGCCCCAGGCACTATTTCGCACGCGTCCCTGGGCGCCCTCCCTAAAAAGCGCACCGCCGCTAGGGTGCCAATTTTCACCGCCGGGCACCATACATCCGGGCCCCGGGCAGGTTGGTGTGAGTTTTCACGCCCCAGATCGGATTATCGATGGATTTAGGCAAGCGAAATTGACACAAACAAGAATGCAAAGGGTTCAGGTGTTTTATTCACCAGACAGAAAATAGAAGATTTTTTGACGTGTTTAGGTTTTTCGATCGAATGGAATGTGTTGCAAATCGGACCATGCGACTGACGTTAAGCAGAAATCGTAAAATACAAAAAGCGTGAGATTTTATAGAAAAACGTAGTCGAGCCGATTACGATATGAAAGCCGCTGTCACCTCTCAAAAAAGAGAAGCTCTTCTAAAGCCCACCTGCTGATGATTCTGGTAGTATCTGCCGTAAGTTCTGCTAAACATCGTGTCCAGGTGCGTGAAGCCGGTGCCGAGAGCGGAAAGGAAATTGCCTAAAAATATAAGCTTATACCGATATGATTTTAACGGCTCTGAGAAACCAGGGAATTAACCCCCTTCGATCGGCTAGGTCTAGACAACCACGTTACGCTGCAAAATACGCTCCAATCTGATTTTATAGCCATTAGAAACGGGAAATTTCGGAAAAAATCGGATGCGACTTCAGAGTAGCTTGGTATGTCGCGTAGCTATCTAGACCTAGTCGATGGAAAGGTATGTTTAAAGTACCGGTTAGAAAACGTACTCCTTAATCTATCCAAACTGGTATGCAGCATGTGTCGTAGGTCGATGACTCGATCTTCGACAGCCACCCGAAAGGCACGAGCATCATTATTTCGCATCCGGATCTCCATAGCTCTCGTACAGCATGAGTTTTTGGTGGATGGGCAGATTTGGAGTTGTTCATCTGAATTACGCATTTGTCTTATTTTTATAAAATTTTTGGAAGGTATGCTAAATTTTCCTCTTTTTTGATTTTCACGCAACACCTCTGCCATTTCAAAGCCTGTGCAGACATTTTCCCAGCAAACATCCATATTTTCAAGTGCCCCCCCCATCCTTGCATCCCCCCCTTGGTCAGCGCGGCCCGCCTGGCGCGTCAAACAAAAAGCAGGCACGTAGATGGCAAAAAAAACGCCTCGGCGCCGCTGGGAACGGTTCACGCAGTCGATGGGCCTTCTTGTACTGTCTGTGCTTTTTGAGGGGTTTTATGAGTGGTGGAAGGAAGGTGAAGTACCAGGAAGCAATGAAGGCCTACTTTTAAGGGCTGTCGAGAAAAGTTGAAATTTAGATGCTAAAGGAATTCTGAAGTGCAGCATGCTAAAGGATTGCTATGCTCCTAAATGGTCTCTGCTCAGCTGCCTCAAAAAGTCTGCTCGCTTGTCAGAGTGAAATGATACAAACTGCCGATTCCAGCCTTTTCACGAGTTAAAGAAATTAGGTAGCGTGAGAATCGACCCCCACGTCGACTAGGTCTAGACAAATACACAAAAAATGTCAATTCAGCGAACAATTTTCAAATGTTTTCAAAATTCCTTCTCTAGCGGCTATTTATAGACATTTACATGCTTTTTGGTGGGTTTCATACCTGACTCGACCTAAACGTTTGAAAGCGTCAATTTGTGCGCTTCCTAGTTCATTTAAAACGTGATTTGATGACGGTTTCAGAAATTTGCGTTTCAAAGCACATTTAGTTTGTAAAACGTCGCTCCCTAACGGTGTTTGGCTGCTTTTTGGTGGGTTGCCTAGTTGGCTAGACCCGGTCGCTAGAAGTGGTCGATTCTAGCGCTTCCTTTAAACCCCCTCAAACTTTTCTAAGCGCCAGGAAGTCCTGGCCAAATTCAATTCAAATCCCACCACCTGGCCACCAACCCCCCATCCGGTCCAATTTCTAGGTCCTCGCAAAAACTGTTGCCAATCTGCCACCGGGCCGCCGGTCCAAGGACAATTTGTCGCATTTCATTTTTTGCCACTATTGCCACTTTCGGGGGCCCTCAAAAAAGTGTGATGGTCAGAAAGGGGGCCAAAAAAGTGAAGAGCTAAAGGGAAAGGGGAGCTAACGGTCATTTGTCAACTTCAGAGGTGACATGTGTGGTTTTAGGGGGCCAAAGAGGATGGGCCGACGCTATGGGGTGGGGTCAGTTTTTGAAAGGTATATTTAAGGATCTAGTAGATCGCGCGCGCGCGGAATATGTTCTCTCTCCCTCTCTCTCTCGTTTTCTCTAACGCTCTCTCCCTCTCTCTCTTGTCTCTCTCTGTCTCGCTCTCTCTTTCTCTCTCTCTCTCATAAAATCTCTTACTTGGCCTCCTGGTCAGCAGCTCCAAGCTAGCGTAAGGGGAATTCCGTAAATGGTCGCAGGTCCCGGAAATTAATTGTAGAAATGTAGAAAATAATAGCAAAAATGCAAAGGTGGTCCCGCCGGTGAATGTTGACGGTCGTATCCGCATCCTAAAAACAAAGAAAAATTGAAACTTTCGAAAAATCGAGAAAGAAAAATCACTAAAACAGCAGGATCCGGGATGATAAAATAGTAATTACCGTGGCAATAAAATTAAAACATTATAAGTACAAAACTACGTATTTTTCGGCCCTCGGTTACCACTCCAAAAATTTTTGAGTGGGGTGAGGCTGGGCCAAGGGGGAGGGGCAGCGAGGCTCCGCCCCCCTTTTTGGCGACTACTGACCCTCGCGCGGGCACCATGGCGCGGCGAGGGATCAAAGAGGATGAGAGAGAGAGAGAGAGAGAGAGAGAAACAGACAACTGTGCCCTCGAGGTAACAACCCTTCCGAGTACCCCTTTCGGCATCCAGAAAAGGGTGCACTTGGTCGGAAATGTTTCCTGCTTTGTTAGGGACGGCTGGTTTCAAGGGTGTTACGGGGGTATGGGAACGGAAAAAGCAACTTGATGGAGAGCGAGCGTGAGAGAAAGAGAGAGCGAGAGAAAGGGAAAAAGTGGGATATATCGATAAAGAGCAAGAAAATAGAAAATTAGCTTTGTTAGAATCTGGGAGGCCACCAAAACAGAAATATTCTGGCGGATGACCTCATATATGCAAAAGCTTATCATTAACCTCAAAGGTATAGCCCGAGGCACTTCCGGCTCAGTAATTCTTTTGCGCTCAATAATTCCCTTCCGCCGCACAAATGACGTTGAAACAAATGATTCAGCAGCGCATTAATAGACTTTTGAATTTTTCAGGCACATAAGGCCGAAAAGCCCAGGGGATTCGTTGCAAGGGACAAATCGGAAGTGACGACTTGGCAGCCAGCCGCCGTTGATTTGCATACATAGATGCAGAACTTAATCCTAGGGGCAAGCAGTGAATGGATGCAGAGAATTTCAGCAAGCAAAGAAAACCGTGTGCAGCCAAAATATGGCAGTCACTGGATTTTCTAGCGTAGGTAGGAGTCCACAAAGACTGAAACAGGTTCCCCTGCCAAGGTGGCCCGGATTGCCCAAGGGTACCCTATCAAGGAAGCCGCCATCCACCAACCCACCCTCCCGTCTGTTAATTGCCCGGAACGAAAAAAAGCGGCATACCATGAGGGACAGCGGCTGCCGTTTGCTGGGAGACTACTTTGTCAGCTCCTGACGCAGTGCGCTGCAGGCATGCTAACGCGTTCAGTCGAAAACCGTAAGTTTCGTGGAAAAGGGAGACAAGAGAGCACGAGAGAGAGTGAGAGAATGAGTAAGTTCGAGAGAAAGTGCGAGAGAGATAGGGGGAAAAAGCAAGTGAGTCAAGGTGCGGGTGGAGCATGAGAAGTTTCGTATTCTTCAGGTATGTAGAAATGATACCATGTGAAATTTAAAGATGCGTTTGCTTTGATGCTTTATTCGGGAAACTCCCGCTTGATGGTCGCGACTTAACGGCGAGTTCCATCCTCGAAGAAGATGCCTCCGTCCAGGGAGCAGTACTTGGGGCAGATACCGCGCTCTCCGGGGTGTCCATCTCCTCCAGGGCCTCCGGGGGCTCTGAAAAGGGTACGATAAGGGTGTGGCAATAGAGAGTGGGCGAGAGTGAAATCGTGAGATAGAGAGGGAGAGAAATAGGGAGAGAGCTAGTGAGGAAGCCAGACCTAAAGATAGCTAGCGCGAGCGGGAGTTAACTGACCGGTGAGGCTGAGAGAGATACCTAGCGCAAAAGAGATGGCTAGCAGGAGAGAGAGGGGATGGAGAAGGAGAGAGAACAAGCGAGTGAGAGAGAGAGTAGAAGAAAGAGCCATTGCTAGATCAAGATCAGGAGAGAAAATGGAGAAAGCTCGAGATCAGCGACTTACCCATTCTCTCCAGGGTGTCCGGGCTCTCCGGGCTGTCCGGGGAATCCACGGCCTCCAGGCTGTCCAGGTCCTCCAGGGGTTCCGTGAGCTCCAGCGGGTCCAGGCTCTCCGTTGGCTCCAGGGGCTCCGGGGGCTCCGGGTGGTCCAGGGACGGCGGGCTCGGAGTGAGCGGGGGCTCCAGGCTCTCCAGGGTGTCCGGGCTCTCCGCGACGGCCTGAAATTGAGGGTTGGAAGGCCCGTAAATCACAGCTTAATGAACCATCAGAAAAGACGTGAACACCTACCAGGAGCTCCGGGCTTTCCGGGGGCACCGGGGGGTCCTGGGAACGAGCGGCCGCCAGGGGCTCCGGGGGCTCCAGGGAATCCGGGTGATCCTGAAAATAGACGAATGAACAGGAATTCGCAATTTTTAAAGGGATACAGACACCTAAATCCTGCACCTACCCTTGTTTCCGGGGGTTCCGGGGGGTCCGGGAGGTCCTTGAGGGCATGGGGTGCACGGGGCTGGGGTGGGCTGCTCGCAGACCTTTGGTGGGCGGCCGGGGAATCCGGGGGCTCCCTAGAAACGTGTTTTTCATGGCGTAATTGATTGAACACGGTTTTAGAAAAGTGTAAGCGGGAATGTTCCCGAAAACTGGAAATAGCTTCGGCACCCACCTGAGGGCCGGGGCGTCCGGGCTTTCCGTGGCGTCCGGGGGCTCCGGGGGCTCCCTGGGGTCCGGGCAGGCAGCATCCTGGAAGGAGAGGGTTAGGGAGAGGGAGAGAGAGAGTGAGAGCGAGATTGAGAGAGAGAGAGAGAGTGAGAGAGGGGAGAGAGATACTGTCTTCCCAACGCCTTAAAAACGAGGTGAGAAAGCCAAGCCAGTAGCCGGCGGAGAGAGAGAGAGAGCGAGAGAGCACGAAAGAGAGCGAGAGTTAAAGCGAGAGACAGAGAGAGAGTGACAGAGAGAGAGAGAGCGAGAGGGAGAGAGAGATAGAGAGATACTTACCATTGCATCCTCCCTGGTTGTAGGTGTCCCTCTTTCCGCGTGTTCCGTTGTTGGGGTGCGCGCGGAACGCGTACACCTCCTCCATGATCTGCTCGGCAGAGAGCTAAAAAAACAGAATTTTTGAATTTCCCAAATTCTCTCTGCTAGCCTGCCTTTAAGATCTGAAAAAAGACGCTAAAATCGATGCAAAACCCACCTCGCAATCAGACATGGCGCGCTCGGCGCGAAGGTGAACGTCGGAGACGTACTGGGCCACCATGGGCAGCGAGATGGCCAGCGAGACCAGGGCGACTGAAAAGTTACGATAGATAACGCAAAAATAAACAGCTTTTTGACCGTAATTAGTTGCCAAATGGACTTCCAAGTGTAAAATGGACAGAAAGTCGCTCCGAACTGCTAAAAAGCGCGCAAAATGCCGTACGTCTGGCGGGGAAAGCTCGGCAACGCATTAATAGAGAGTTTTAAGGCGTATTTAGCGTAAAACTAGTTTATTTAAGGTTTCGAAGCCACCTAAATCCCTAAAAATCGCTAAAATTTACTCAAATCATAGTAAAACAAGAAAAAACACTACAAAACTCATTAATAAAAGCGAAAATGAGCGTAGTCAAGCGTGGTTAGGACTAAAAAGTATCTAACAGGGCCAAAATTAAGTTTTGAATATAGAAAAACCCTCAAATTTGCCCTCAAATACCGTACTTCCGGTGAAGACCGAAGCCACCCGGGACACGTAGACGAATGCCTTCTCGGCGTCGACGCTCATCTTCTTTGCGGAGAGCTGAGGATGGGGAGACTGAGCTGATTTCAGCGGCCATACCTGCCCTTTTATACAATGCACCCCCGCATCGGCTGTAGCCCACAAAAACAGGACGGAGTCGCGCGCGCTCTCGGTGTTCCGCTACTGCGGCCATGCTTGCCGCGCGGCCCCATCGAGTTAGTTAGCGGGTTGAAATTTGGGAAAGATTTGCTTGGAAAACATCGGGTGCGTGTTGGAGGCTTCTTTAAGTCAGCATTGTGTACTTAAAAGCCTGAATTGAACGAAATTTTGTAACGTCAGTTTAATCGGGGGCTTTTGGGAAACGCAACGGACTTCTGTAATTAAAGTTTCCCCAACTTCGGGCTCTATTATTTTGATCTTCCCGGTTTTTTGCTAAAACAACTATTCCGCCAACGTACTAAGTAAATTTTCTCTTTCCGACGAGCCCCTAGCTCAAAATTTGCCAAATGCAAGATTTGAAAAATTCGCTGAATTTTGGAAGGGCGGCTTTCACGAAGAATGGTGGACAAGTTTTTTGTTTGGCCTCTGAATTTTCCTCGATTGATGAAAGTACAGCACCTGAGGTAAGCGAGCAGGTTTTTTGAGGATTTGAGGAACTTTCACAAAAAGCACAGGGCAAGCCATAGTAGCGACGACCCCTCGGCAGCTCGACGTTGTTGCGGCAGGGATCCCCCTTTTTGTTTGACCTACCGGTTACCTTTCTTATCATAAGTTGCATTTTTTACAAATCTTTAAAACGGTTTGGTAGCTTTTCTCATTACCCACCATCAGTGGGGAATGTCCCAGTAAGAAGTTCCGCTTCTCTGACCGCTCTCGGCGCGGGGCGCCCTTTTTCCGCGCCTCCCTCGATTTGGAAAGCCGAGCCCCAGATTGAGAGACAGCGCGGCAGGGAGATTTTGAGAACACTGGTGGACATCGTTTTGAAAAATCGAAATTAAAGGAATTTATTTAAGTTATTTGTTGGAAACCGAATGCACGCGGCCAGGAATAGTCTGGTATCCTGGAAAAGTATTAAAAACCAGCGCTTCTAACGTTTTTTCGTTACGACAGGTTTTTGACCACCAAGGTAAGTTAGTGGCTGATCAAGCGGTTTATTTTGTAAGGTAACAATTTGCTCCACGGCCCGCCCCAGTTAATTCCGTATTTCGCTAGCTGAGGTTCAAAATTGCGGATCAAAACCTGGGTAAACAATCCCGATGGGGAGGGGGCACCAGAGGGCATCAAAGTTTTTCACGCTGTGCCTCCTAGTTTCGCAATTTCTGTTTGTCATTTTTTTTCCTCGACAGGTGGGGCGTGGAAACCGGGATCCCGGGAGGGCCCCCGGGTTTGTTGGGGGCCCTCATTATTGCCCGGATGACCCAGGTGGGGGCCGTTTAAATTTCTACATTTATTAAAAATTGCCATTATTCTCAGTTTAACTCTCTGTGGTTTCACCAAAAAAAACGTTGAGTGAAAGTCAGAGGTTTCCCCGATTTAATCAAATTAAAATAAAGTTCCCACCTACCTTCTTGCATGGAATTTCTAAAAATAATCCACGGCCGCCGCTACACCTTGTTTTTAAGGCATTTACCGGAAATTCGTGTTTCCTGCTCTTTATCATTATTTTCATGATTTGGCGTATTAAACTTTAAATTTGGGGTATTTGGAATCTTTACAATGCATGTAAAATGCAAAATTTACGTGCAAACCCACATCCGAGATCACATTTTGCTCCGCCTCATCTTTGCCCTTGATCTATCCAGCTCACCCCGGCAGTAGCATTGGCCAAACAACATAGAGAGCGAGCGAGAAAAAAATCTCTAAGGCTAAAAAGAGTCTTTTTAAAAAAGGGCTTTTGGTTTTCGCAAAAAGAGAGGAATTCTCGTGGCAACAAAAAGAGTTAAATTCCTTTCAAACTCTTAAAAATGCCACAGAATGCGGGAACAACAAAAAATTGCTGGCTATTTAAAATCTTGATAAACTCGGTTCCATCCTAGATCACAGGTCAGGTCCACAGATTAATTTCAAGAAAGGGCAAATAGATCATAATAAATACAGAAATTATTTGCAAGCTGAAACCGCTAGAAACTGGATCTGTCCATTTTAATAAGGTGCCAGCAACTTTTGGTTGATCCCACATTCTGTGGCATTTTTAAGAGTTTGAAAGGAATTTAACTCTTTTTGTTGCCACGAGAATTCCTCTCTTTTTGCGAAAACCAAAAGCCCTTTTTTAAAAAGACTCTTTTTAGCCTTAGAGAGAATTTAGCCCTTTTTGCCTCAATCTTATTGTTAAGATGGTAAAATAAGCCAAGGAATACTCATTCAGATGAACCCTTGTACGCAAAACTTCAAAAAAATTTCCCTGCGGCGCTTTGTGACGGCACTTGCACCATAAGGATGCACGGGGGCCAATCGGCAAAAAACATGCTTCGGGTGGGATTCGAACTCGGGAGCCAAGTCTTCCTAGTACAGCGTGCTAACCACTAGGCCAACGGGGAGACTGGAGGCCCGTCTTGGGGAAGCTAGACCCGCCCGCCCTGGCTTGGGACTGGGGCCGCCAAAGGGGAGGGTGGCGCCCCGTATGGCGAAGGTTTAATTCTATAATATCTCAGGGAAGAAGCATTCTTTCGTTGCAATTTCTTCTTTACTTATTCCGGCATGGTCTAATGCATATTTGAGCGAAATTTCAGCACAAACGGATATCACTAACCATTGTTTTGACCGCGATTTAGCTTTTACACTTAAAAATTAAATATAAATTTTTTTAAAGCCTATTTTGAAAAAAACTCTTCTTGCGGTCCGAGATTATCATTGACCCAACAACTGTAAAAATTTTCAGCCCAAACGGATGATGGGAAGGCACTTTTTGACGACTACAAAGGTTTTGTGGCATACATACATACAAACGCAGACCCCCCTCGAAACGCAATTTAAATCGGCTGTTAAAATTCGAAATTTCACTCTTTTTCAATTTTTAAAAGCTTATGGTATGTAAAAAGTGTCGCCGGTTCCAATGGTGTATTCAGTTTTGCGATCCGATGCTTGGTTCTTTTTTAAATCCGGAAAAGGACCCCAAAAGAGTCGTATGGGGGGGTACCTCAAACCAAAAGGGGTTAGCGGGCTACGCCCGCTAACCCCGACTACGGAAATACGGGGGGAAAAGTGAAAATAGGTCCCCGGCTGATTCACCCATCCTCTGTACCAGCCGCCTCGTCAATATTGGATTTTCAGTGTGCTGCGAAGCAGAGTTTATGTGATTTACCCCCATCAAATTTCGTGTTCGCATAAAATCGGATTTTTTTTGGATTATTATCCGTCTATTGATGTTTTCTAGGGATTTACGAAGTCTAACAATAATTGCTTTAATCGTTTTTCAGCTTTCCCATGTTTTCCTCACCCCTGATCTCATTTCTCTGCGGTTTTATTCTCACAACTCTCGAATCGGCAACGATCGACAAGCCGGTGTCGGTCAAGGATTCCGATGCTACGCTTCAGGTACGTCTCGCTCTACGTGATTACCTCGCTCTATAAAACCTTGCCAAAACCTCGATAGTTCATCGTAGGAAGCAAATGGCAAAAGCGTAAGCTCCCTTTAAAGGGCACGTTCAGGGATGTTTTTTTGGAAAAAAGCAAAGATTTTTGCCGCGGACGGGGGTCGAACCCGGGCCCCCCGCTCGTGAGGCGCGGGTGGATACCAGTCAGCCACAGTTACAGCCTGGCGAGGGGGCGAGGGGCGCCCCACGTCAAGGAGGGGATGGCCTGTCACAGCACGGGCAGGCAGTACGCGCCGTCCCTACGTCCAGGGGCGTACGAGGGGGCAACAGGGGCAAGTTGCCCCCCCAAAATCAGCCGAAGGCCGAAAAGTTCATAAGGGGGGACCCTTATGATTTTTTCAATAAAAATTTTTTTGCCTGCGGCGCTGTTTATTACTGTTTTGAAGACGGTTTTTACTTCTATGAAGCCTATTTTTCCAAAATTTTTTTGCCTGCGGCGCTGTTTTTCATTGGTGTGTCAATTGTCCATATAAAATTTTCGCCTGCGGCGCGTTTTCTGTGATGTTTTTGCGTGAATTTGAGCGTTTCTAACGCTTTTTCCTTAATTTTTGCGGCCTGGGGCGCTGTTATAGCCGCGATTTTTGAATGTTTTGAAAGTGGTGACCGGGGGGGAAGGCCGACAAAAAAAATTTTCGAGTTGCCCCCCCAAAAATCGGGTTCGTGTACGCCCCAGCTTACGTCCATAGGGTGTACACGTTGGGGCGAGTACACGGCTCCTCCCTGAACGTGCGCTTTAAATGTGTATAATTTGATATGTATGATATTTAATTTGGATTATAATAATAGTCCATGGTTTAGAAACTAATCTACGGCGTCGGGCTTCATGGAGTTAACGACAAGATTCGTGATACGGCCTGGTGGATTCCAGTCGGTGGAGGGTAGGTTTTTCCATAAATTGTAGTTTCTAGCTGTTTATTAACTTCTTTGTGCTGCAAAATGGATGGTAGTTGCCTTTCCAAGTCGAGCCTTAAGTTTTAATGATTCCTAACAGCTTCAGGCCAAATTTTAGCACTACTTTATTCTCCTCTCCGAAGCCCCTCTAAATTCCCTCCAAATTTTTAGTAATTTTTACTCAAAAGTTGTTTATTCCGGCTCTACAGAACAAAGCGAACATTTTGATGTATTTCATAGTAATGTGCGGCGATGGGAAACTCGATTACAAACCTAACAAAATTGTTGCAGCTACCAAGCGACTCGTCTCGTGACGGCCACTGGAGGTGATCATCACTATACCTGGCAATTTAAGGTAATTCCTACCAATTTCGACTTGAGGATTTGATGATTTTAAAAAGCCAATAACAATAAATAAGGTTATTTTCACAATTGCACTTTTCAGATCACCGCGCAAAAGTCCACATGCCCTCGGGCGTCCGTAACGTTCAGCAAGGTGAAGAATTGCAAAGCCGATCCGGCCGCAAGCCGGAAAAAGGTATGTTTGGAGTATTTTTAACGCGTAATCTATTAAGCACCACTGTATACCTACTAAACTACCGCTTTTAATTATATTCGGCTTTAATTGGCAGTCGCACTTACTAATTAGTCGATTTTTTCTAGTCCTGCTCCGTCTACATCAGCTACAGCGAGAAGCGGCCGGACGATATTGATTCTGAGGTTTATTGCCAATAAATAATACCAGATTTATTATTTTACCAGCCGATTACAGCCGCTTCGCGACTGTAATCGACTGGCCTTCGGGCTACCCTACATATTCTACACCACCACATACCCCGCTACATGATCAATACTTATGCTGATGGTTTCAGAAACCCCTCTTAGCCGAACGTAAATACCTTCTTTAGCTTTAGATACTTCCCCGAGCCGAAATCCCCTTAAAAAACTACTTCGATACCTTCCTGCAGGCTTTAGTTACCTCCCCTAGCCGACATCCCCTTAACAAACTACTTCGATACCCTCCGGATGGCTTTAGATACCCCCCTAGCCGAAATCCCTTTAAAAAAACTACATAAATACCTTCCGGATGGCTTTAGATACCTTCCCTAGCCGAAATCCCCTTCAAAAACTACCTAAATACCTTCCTGATTGCTTCAGATACCTCCCCTAGCCGAAATCCCCTTCAAAAACCACCTAAATACCTTCCTGATGGCTTTAGAAACCCCCATGGCTGAAATCCCCTTCGAAAACTACCTAAATACCTTCCCGATGGCTTCAGATACCCCCCATGGCTGAAATCCCTTCAAAACTACCTAAATACCTTCCTGATGGCTTCAGATACCCCCATGGCTGAAATCCCCTTCGAAAACTACCTAAATACCTTCCCGATGGCTTCAGATACCCCCATGGCTGAAATCCCCTTCAAAAACTACCTAAATACCTTCCTGATGGCTTTAGAAACCCCCATGGCTGAAATCCCCTTCGAAAACTACCTAAATACCTTCGTGATGGCTTCAGATACCCCCCATGGCTGAAATCCCCTTCAAAAACTACCTAAATACCTTCGTGATGGCTTCAGATACCCCCCATGGCTGAAATCCCCTTCAAAAACTACCTAAATACCTTCGTGATGGCTTCAGATACCCCCATGGCTGAAATCCCTTCAAAAACTACCTAAATACCTTCCTGATGGCTTCAGATACCCCCATGGCTGAAATCCCCTTCAAAAACTACCTAAATACCTTCGTGATGGCTTCAGATACCCCCCATGGCTGAAATCCCCTTCAAAAACTACCTAAATACCTTCGTGATGGCTTCAGATACCCCCATGGCTGAAATCCCCTTCAAAAACTACCTAAATACCTTCGTGATGGCTTCAGATACCCCCCATGGCTGAAATCCCCTTCAAAAACTACCTAAATACCTCCCTGATGGCTTTCGATACCTACCCTAGGCGAAATCCCCTTAAAAAACAAAAATGACGACCGACCGGATGGAATGAAAGAAAAAAAAGAAATGAAATCCCGCGTGAAAATTTTCATCCACGAAACGCGCGCGACCTGGCTCACTATGCGAAAATCATGCCAACCTCCGTCCCCCACCCCTTTTACTAAGGAAAAAACTTTCAAAGTTAATTTTAATAATTTAAACTAAAACTTTTTCGTAATTTTTTTATCAGTTTGGGGGTTTCTGACCACGCTCTATCCGAATCCGAAGAGACCTAAGCTCTAGCTCCTTTCCCCTTCGAGTTGAATTCGGCTTCAGACGGACGGACAGACACCACTACTTTTTTATTATAGTTGATTCAATAAAAAACTATTAATCAAATGTTTATCCAGTTTTCAAAAGGCCAGGTCGACGCGTAAAGCCGGAAGCGATGGTCCTCGGGATCGAGGCTAGAAGGGCTGACGAATCCCTCCAGGGGAAGGAAATGGCTTCCGGGGAATCGAGTTGGACTCCATTCACTCGGATAAACCTGTAAATTTAAAATAGGATGTATTTACATATAAAATAAAAGGGAATGCTTCGAAAAAGCTTTTCAGAAAACCATACATTTTTTGAAAAATCTATTTTGACGGCGCTATCGGCTACAAAAAGATAATGTGAGAGTAAAATGGTGCAATTTATTGCGCAACAAGCCAGGCAAACTAGCAGCGGCCATTTGGGATTTTCTTGCCGTAAGACTCACCAAGTCAAATTGGTCCTGAGCGGCGCAAAACCGCCAAAAGCATCAAAAGTCTTGTCTAGCCCACCAAGGGCATAGACATCGCACCAAAAATGCATATCACCTAAAATCTGCTATATTTTAGAACCATAGAAATTTATCTTTCATTTAATCCACATCCATTAGTGTCTAGAACGTTATTAATGCCAACTTACCTCGATCAATATCATAAAACTTGAAGCTGAAGCGCTCGTGGACATTCAGAAATCTGTCGTGCATATCTGTTTTCATAGACTGGCAGTGGAGTTTGATATTCCGGTCGAGAAGGTTGACGACACCGATCTAGACGTTGTATGACACTTCCGTACGTTCTTATTAAGGTTGTATACGTGCTAGACCTGCTTTAAAATCAATTAGACGCCGTTTAAACTCGTTAAAACTGGCGGAAAATTATTTGGCTCAAGCTTTCCAACAACGCTTGTTTATACTGTTTGATTGAGCGTCGATTTCGGGAATTTTTCGCTCTGGTTGATGCATATCTGTTAGAGTCCACGTTTTTGAACCTAAGCAGTGGTTGAAAACGAAATTAAAACCTTCAAAATTTCCTTTAAAGCTCGCGTATCACCGAAATGCTTACCTCATTCGGCCTGCGATGTTTTCTTGCATCGATCAGCGATAGTAAGCAAATAAGGGTTAGTGGAATATTAAAATATACAGTAAAAACCATTGTTATTTTGACAAACCCGAGACGGGGGCTGTTCTTGAAGGCCGTTTGTTTATATTTCCGGACAAAAGAAGCCGAAAATTTGCCCCAAGCTGCCCAGCGCCCTGCGGCAGAAGCCCAATTTGCTGGGACCCGGTCCCAAATCAGCTTGTCGCTGGCCGCCGCTTGTTAGCTTTGGGAACAGCTTTTTTGGGCAGAAAAAGAAAGAGCTCATTGCCGATAGAAATCACCTTTCAAAATCGTCTTAAATATTTCAAACTTAAATCAAAAGTTGTAGTTCAACTGAAATTTCAAAACTTAAACAACTCATAGAAATTGTAAAACCACGATTTTGCGGAAATTTTATGCCAAATATTATAAAGCTTTTTTTTGCGATTTCTGTGCTGTGGCGGCATATCATTAATGCGCAAAATAAGAAAATGCTATTTCCTATTTTCGGTTTTTCCGGATCCGGAAAGCATGAATTTCACCTTTCCGCTTTCCCCAATATTTGGTTTTCTAGGTTTTTTAAGCATTTTGTAGTTTTTAGCCCGTTTTGCGTTTTCTGGGGAAAATACAAGCACCTAAATCGTGTATTTTCGTAATCTTACTTTTAATCTCTATTTCCTCTGGTCGCTTGTAGTTTGTATTTTGTAGTTCAACTTTTTTCAGCATAAAATTTATTCCACAAAATCAAAAATATTCGGGGGGAACTCACACTTGAACACTAATATACGTATAGCTACACGAATTGCTGCTGCTGCTCACCGGAGAATTCTCTAATTCACGCATGGTTTTTGACATGGAGGGTACATATGGGGGGGCTTTAGGGTATATATGGGTCGAAGCCCGGGGGCGCCGCCAAGGCGCCTCCCGAGGCACCCCCTGGGGGGCGTGCCGAGTGGCGCCTGGGGGCGCCGCCCCTATGATTTTTAACGGGGCGGGGGGGCGTCACCAACGGCGCCTGTGAGATTATGCAAATTTTCTAGTCTAATGTTAATTATTCATTTCAAGCGCAAGAGCGACGGACAGTAGAGAGAACCTGCAAATAACTTTTCCTCTTGCACTTCAGAACAGCGCATCAACGTAATAGTCAGCCTTTTAATAATGTTTTTAGTAAAATTTAACTATCTTTTAAGTGGAAAAAAGAAAAAATTGGAAGGAATTTTAGGCGGAAATTTCGAAATTGGAAGTGAGATTGGAAATATCGGCAATTTTTCGCAGAAAAATCTATATTTTTCTGTATTTAAGTCACAGTTGGTAAAGTTTTTACGTTTAAGAATAATAACAACAGTTTGGAAAGCTTCCACTATTTCTTTTACAGGACAAGGTCCTTAGAAAAAAGCTGGTCCCCCATAAACACCCCCTTCCTCTACAATGGGAAAGGATCATGGAAAAATTATAGGCCAATCAACTAATAGTTTTTGCCTTCTTTGATATTAAGGATCAGCAGTCAAATCTGATTTCCATAATAACACCGCATCTTTGCTTTGCATCTCGGTTTTCCGGCGTCTTTTGGTCAGCCCCAGGCGCCGCCACAGGCGCCACTCGGCACGCCCCCAGGGGGTGCCTCGGGAGGCGCCCTGGGCGGCGCCCCCGGGCTTCGACCCATATATACTTTAGGGTCTCATTAGGAACCTAGCAAAAAATGGCGGGGATTCAAATGTATCAAAAAATTCAAAATAAACTGATCATATTAAAACGCCGTATTTTGACTACCACGAGAAGAATTACATCCGATAAATCTACATTTAGCAATATTGGAAAAAAAAGAAGAATCGATTGGCTAAATGGCGGGAAAAGGTCAGAAAAAAAAATTAGAATTCAATTTTTAAAAGGATTGACAATTAGCAAGTCGTGGCGATAGATTTTTTGGTCATGGATTTCCCAGGTTTTTGTGGCACCGCGAGCCGCGACGCATCAGCGCCACGCAACGCGCCCGCGGCACGCAACGCGTCTGAGACACGCAACGCGCCCACGGCACGCAAGGCGCCTGAGACAACCAATTCGTGCGTCACGTTTCGCGCTTGCGTCGCGCGTTGCGGTTTCGAAAAAAATTCGATAACCCATCCATAGCCAAAAAGAGCTATTTTGCCTTACCAATCCCTTTAAAAAAATCAGATATTACTGTTTTAATGACAATCGGAATTTACAAGTCTTCAAAATTCAAATTAATACGAGTCCAAATTTCGCTGCATAACTAGATCTAGCTGCACAAAAACGGATAAATGGCAACTTGCCGGTACTTAAAAACCATCAAAAACGGGCGTAAATGTCAAAAAATCTATTGTCAAAGGAAATGGAGGTGGCGGGTGGGGAGGAATCAGAAGAACAGCCTGTGTCATGAGATCGGGGATATGTTTTTCGGTGGAAAACATTGATGGAAAATGACGGGAAAATGGGATTAAAAAATGAAGGATACGAAACTTATCTCAGAAAAAGTTTAGGGTATCATTAATGTCCGTTCAGCTTGTGATGTAGAATTGGGGGCAGTGGGCAACCGTTTTGGGCGTGGTACATTGCCTGGAAAATTTTGGTAAGGTAAGGTATCTCTTTCTCTCTCGTCTTTCTCTCGTGTCTCTCTCTCGCTCTCTCTAGCTCTCTCTCGCTCTCTCTCGCTCTCTCTGGCTTCCTCTCGCTCACCTTTCGCTGCAAATCCTCCATATACAGGCGTAGCGTGGCGAGTTCTTGATCCAACTTGGAGGCCGTATACTGAAAAAAACAGCATAGATTGAGAGGATTAGACGCGGTAAGCTAGCAGCGATTCTTTGCGGAATTGGGGCCTATCGGGCTTAAAGAAGTCATGAATCCGTGCAAACTAGCAGAGATCCTTTGGGAGAACGCCTTGGAATCGATCGAGAAAATCGAGAAAAGCCAATACAACCAATTGCAAAATTAGGGCAAGCTAGCAGGGATCATTTAGGACAAACCTTTTCCTCATTAACCAACTGCTCGAGCTCCTGGATCTTTTCGAGCTTCTTTTGGCGGCACTTGGAGGCGGCCATGCGGTTGCGGAGTCGCTTGCGCTCCAGTTTCCGCCGCTCATTCTCGTCGACGTGGATTCTGGAAGATCAGGAGGTTTAGGTGCTAATGTATGTCAATATTTTGAATTTTTGATTTTTATATATTTGAAGGAATTTACTTTCGTTTTTCCAATTATTTTTTTCTAGGTATTTTGCGCTCTATTCTAACGTCTGATGCCGCTTCTTAGGAATCCAGAACACTCGGAGGCTACCCCTTAAAACCGGCAATAAACCCGGAATCCCTATAAATCGGTTAAGGGCGCGAAAAACGCGTTCGACGGTCATTCGTACAGTGGCGTACACCCGGGGGTGGAATGCTAGAGTCGCGACCTTTACAGCCCCTAAAAGGCACCCCCACACGGCCGTAGCTACCCCAAAAGCCGTTCGAGGGAAATGGCGAGGACTGGAGTGGGGTACGGTAGCTCTCTCACTCTCTCTCTTCCCCTCTCTCGCTCTCTCTCACGCTCGCTCTCTCTCTCACTCGCTCTCTCCCTCTATATCTCGCCCCTTTAAAAAGTACGGTAATACCCAATTTTCGCAGTGTAAACAGTATCCCATCGTTTCCTCCTTCCCAACCCCTTTTTCGGGTCGATTCCCATGGTCCGGGCTGGTGGTTCTGATTCACAAAAAGCCCCGCAACACGGCCCGGCCGCCCCGATCGCGGCTTTTTTGAAGTTAAAAGAAGCGCCGTGGAATGGGGGAATGGGCCCGGCTATTCAAATGGGTCCCGCCGCGAATCGCTTGTTTCGGTGGGTTGGATACAGTTTTGAGTAGAGTTTGGCTGTGGGGTTTTGGGATGCCATAGAGCGAGAGAAAGAGAGAGAGAGAGAGAGAGAGAGTGAGCGCGAGAGAGAGTGAGTGAGAGACATATGAGAATCCATGCCATCTTCCCTAGCAGGTATCGACATTTTTCCTAATTCCGGCCCTACCATGCCCAAACCTGGTATAATCCCCCAAATCGTTACCATTCAGACCCATGCCCGCTGATACGGTAACGGGGCGTGAATGGTGTGTGCCGGGGTCAAACATATCGAGGAAGGGGGATAAGCCGATCGTTTGCGGGCCCCCCACACCCCCACCTCCAGCCCCAGCCGACCCTAAATCTTTTTGAAGGGCGCCGCCGCGCGCGCGCTCCACAGAATTGAGCAAATATTTCTGGAAAGCGCGGATCGAGGGATACTGTAGAACGTACTGGAATGGAACCGAATGGACATGGGATTTACATTGGACCGCGCGTTAAAGGCACTCAAAAGTGGTAAAATCCACTTTCTCCGCTGACTAGGTCTAGACAACAGCCTGCACCCGTAGAATTAGGTGGTGTGGAAGGCTACGGTAACCAGATGCCGTAAGCGTTACGCTAGAAGTGCGCAGCAAAGCTAAGCAAGTTAAATCTAAGTTTTTCGGATTTTTGGAACCGATCCGCGCCCACGCCACAGTGTTTTTGATGTTAACCAGAACTTCCATAACAATACAGTTTTCAAATTTGACTTCCTAGAACACGGACGATTCACGGAATTTCTCTCTCTCTCTCTCTCTCTCTCTCTCTCGCCAAATTTGCCGAACACCCACGCACGAACAGCACAAAATAAACTCTACACCCCGAATTGTCTTGCCTCCTGTAAAACATCCAAACATGAGGGCACACTATCGGTAATGATGAGTCAGGGATTTTGTGTCTCGAGTGTGAGGGTGGGGGTTTCCCCCCTAGCTGGTGGCTTTTTTGTGTCTACAACTGGAGAGATAGAGAGAGAGAGAGGGAGAGAGAGAGAGAGAGAGACGGAAACAAAGAGCAGCAAACAAGCAGAAAAAATTCTGAAGCGGATGTGAGGGCAGGGCGTGAGTCATCTCTGTTGACCAACAAGGGCAAACCGGTCGCGTGCACTTTATGAACACCGGTGGTTGCTTTAAAGGTACTAGAAAAGCAGAAATTACAAAAATTAACGTATTCCGTCCACAGTATGATGCTGGAAGTCCAAAAAAAATGAATTTACGCAAGCTTTTAGACGGAAAAATCGAATTTTTCAATTTCTTACACTCTTCAAACTTTTAAAAAACAGCGTTAATAATTTAAAATGGTCTAGTAGTGACAGAAATGAATCCCTGAGTTTTTCCGTCCGGAAAACCCAAAAATCACACTTAAGAATCGGGTTGGGTCCAAGACTCCAATTTTTGAGCTTTTGGCACCTCACCAAGCGTCTAGAGGGCAGCTCCGTGCCTTCACAGTCCCTTTAAAACGCGATTTTCTGGGATTACACTGGATTTTTTTGTAATTTTTCGTTTTCCGCTTCAGAACCCCCCACAATCGATATCAGTTCCGGGCCACAATCGCCCTCCCTTTTCTCCTGGTAAGTTTACACGGCGCGCTACCAAATCACCCCCTTTGCCCTATGCTCTCTCCTCCTGCGGTTACGGTAGCCGCTCGGCATTCCCCTCCCGATTTGGCGATAAGGAGTGCCCTTCTCCACGGAGATGCCGGCAGACCGGAGCCATCGATGGGTTTGAATTTGGAGAATTCGGCGGTTTTGATCGTTGTTTGGAAAAAAGCTCAAGCTCAAGGAAACCTGGTCTAAAGGGATTAGCAAGTTTCAAAATCGACCCTCTGATTGGATAGGTCTCGACAGCTACCAGACACGGAAGCACAAGCGGGAAGGCATTTTGATATTCCTAGAAATCCTATATTTCCGTAAACGTAAATGCGCTTGTAGGCGTCTTTTGGCGTGTTTGATTTTTCGGGTTTTCGGTCCTCAAGATCTCTGCTAGCATGCCTACGATAGCGAAACTTTAGAGACCACTGCTAGCAGATCTAAGCCTAAAGAATCCAGACTCGGGAGTTTCTAAAGATTTCTGCTAGCTTGCCTTCGATCTGCTTTCTTTCAGCGGCCCTAAAAGAACTCTGCTAGCTTGCCTGATGGGCTGAATTTCTCAGGAATCTTTGCCAGCATGCCGTTTTGAATCGGTTTCCTCAAGCACCCGTGCTAGCTTGCCTGGCTACGAGGATTTCGAATGCATATCCAATTGCTGGTGAACGATTTTTAGGACTAAAAACTACTCGGGTACAACCCAGCGCCCCGCTCCAAAAAGCGAACAATTCCCGAACATAAGGGTGTCCCCCCGCCCCAGCCGATCTATGGCTCGAATAGCGCTACAAAAGCATCGTCCTCTCCCCTCTCCTAAAAAGGGAGGGAATGCCCCCCTCTTCGAGCCGGGGGCAAACATGGCCCCGACGATCGCCGTGTATTCCCCCCCGTATATATTCGGGATCCCACCTCTTTTTCGCTTTTTGGGGGGTTGTGCGCGCGGCGCGGGAATGGATTCCGACGATTTTGATACGCCGGAGCGTGGGTTGGGAATGGGATTTGAGGGGAGCACGTTGTACTTGAAGGTATGCAAATTAGGGTGCGATACGATAAGATACGTCGTGCCGCCGCCAGCTTGGGTGAGAAACGTGAAAAACTCAAAATCTACGGTTTACAGGACCGTGCCACGCTACTAAGTACGATGCAAATCGACCAAAAATTACGTGGCGTAACTGATCGCTCCAAATGCCTATGAGGGTTATATTACGTCATGAAATCGTGAGGACACCGCGAGACATAATGGCATACCGAAGCTTTCACGTGATTTTTCGACACACTTACGCGATGTAATTACGTGATGAAACCCATAGTTCCCTGAGATTTCGTAAGGTTAATTTCCCTGGTAGAAACAGCACTTTTTTCTCGCCGGTTAAGTCAGGCCAATCGGCCATTTTTTCGAGAATTATAGCGATTTTTTAGCTCTATAGCTGACCCGTTCAGCCCATGCTCATTTTTGTTGCGATTTTCCCAGCCAAGGTTGTCTGGATTTGCTGGATCTGCGAGTTTTTCCGCTTCACCAGTTTTTTGCGGGCCCTTATCACCTTTTTCCTGCTAAACCAAAGACGGTCTCGATGCGGGCAAGCAAGAAAAAGAGAGATAATATTTGAGCGATGATGATAATTTGATGATGGACGGGGTGAGAGCTTTTATACGACGCGTTTTTCGCAATTATCACCCCCAATTTGGCGTCGAGAAAATGATGGATTGGGTGGATCGAAGGGGTGGGTGTGGATGGGGAAAAGCCGGGGACCATTGTTTCGAATGTCGCAATTGGTCTCGATTTCGGCCAATTCCTGAGGCGAAATCACCAAAAATAGACGCACCGGGCACTGGTTGATACGCTGAAAGAACACGCGCGCAAAATAACGTCACAAAATCTCTCTCAACCCACAATTTCATGACGTAATTGCATCGCGTAAGCGTTTTGAAAGGAGTTTCTCGATTCCTTGGTGTGAACTTTAGATAATTGCATTAATAATGTCTAAGTTATTCGGTACAAGGCTGGCAAATCATCAAAAATTAAAAAAGTGGTTTAAAGGAACTACGAAGCCGTAAAAAAGAACGCTTTCTCGAACTAGCTCGAGACAATTGATGTATCGTTTTAAAAGGCCGTTTGCGAGAGACCCGAACAAGGCTTGGCACAGTTTTTCGACCCCCATTTTTTGATGCCATCTGATAGAGCGTTGTCGATTTAGAGGAATCGCACTAATTTGGGATTTTTAAATTAGCATTTTCCTGGTTAAACAAGGCGTTAAAGTTGCCAACGTCCAAAATTTATCTCGGCGTCTACTTGACAGAATTGGCCGAAACTTTGTGACTAGGCCTAATTTGGGATGGGGATCATTTTTCTAATACATCGCGAAGCATGAAATGAGCAGTACCTAGTTAAATTGCATACCCAAAACAGTTTTTGGCGAATTTCAAATTAACGGCGAATCGGCCCAAGCTGGAATTAGGCTAGAAAAATGCGCAAAATTTTTCTGCATCGATTGATGTATTATTTAGGTGGCGGCCAGGTCGCCGTTTTCTCACAGCGAGCTTTTTATAGCTGAAAAATGGTCAGAAAATCTGACTAAGTCGGAAAATATTGTGGTATTTACATATCGGAGTAGTCAAAACCCATCAAGAAGGCATGCCAAGTCGATTGCAAAAAAGAGCAAAAAGAAATTCGGCTTCTGAGAGG